TAGTGCCTGGTCTCTTCATTACATTCACGGTTAATCATAATTGGCCAGCAATCACCGAGAACTTTCGTGCATGCAAACACCAAACTGTCCTGATTTTGTGGCCCGAGGTTTTTCACTATTAAATTGAAATCGTTGTTGGCTGGCTTGACCGTGCCTAGCGTGTTTGGAAAAGCAAAGCCTTTTTTTTTTTTTTTTGGATACACCATCGAATTCCAAGAGCGAGGCTTACCCCATGGTGACGCTCTCATATTTTGGTAATTTGACGCTCAGAGGATAAGTTAACAATAATTGTCATTATTGGAGAGCGAATCGATCAGTTCGGCATCGCCAAAATTCCTGCTGAGACAGAAGATCCTCACCTACGTCAGATCGTCCTAAAATGTATGATGCACAGACCGTGCGGTGACAAAATCGCTACGCGCCTTGCCTGGAAAATGGAGCTGCAAAAAGAGTTTCCAAAGCGGCTCAATGGCACAACGAAAATAACTTTAGATGGTTAACCAGTGTATCGGTGTCGCAGTACAGTCCAAGCAACTGTTGGAAGCAGTGGCGTAGCGAGGATGTTTGGCGCCCGGGGACGAGATTCGCGCCGGGGACAAGATCCATTTTTAGCGCCCCTTTTTCTTTTTTTCAACTCTCAAACCCATTATTTTCATCAATAAAATAATATCAAAGCACATTTTGGCGCCCCTAACTAGCTGGCGCCCGGGGAATCTGTCCCCCCCCCGCCCCACCACGCTACGCCTCTGATGTTAGGTTCTGAGTGTGGACTCGTAGGGGTTTCTACTGTTGAGAAGAATTGGTCTATACGTTGGGTTTGATGTATCCAAGGGGGTGCAAATTATTATTTTATTTTATTTTTTGTAAATTATTATTTCATTTTTATTTTTTGTATTTCCGTCCCTTAGGAAAGTTTTAAACGGACTGAAAAATTGATTAATATAAATTCTAAAATAAATGTTAACTTTTTTTTAAAAAAAAATTACAATAACCGTTGCGCCCATAGGAAATAGTTGTGATGTATTTCGACATATTTTAAACCAAATATTATAAGGTACTAAATGAACAACTGTTACAATCCCTTCTATGTCGTGCCGGCTCAAGGTACCGGCAACTCGGGCAGTTGTCCGGGGCGCCATGTGCTTTGGGCGCCATCAAAGAACTTCCAAAATAATACCAAAAAAAAAAAAAAAAAAAAAGGATTGCATGTGGCCACCATAAAAGAAAAATATCAATTGCACTAAAAATATTTGCTGATCTTAAAGATGGGGAAAAGAAAAAAAATGTAATCGGTAGGCGAATTGTTCACACTACCGGTATCCAAAACACAAGTTATGAAAAAAAACAAAATTACTTTTCATTGTTATTTTTTTTAAAATCCCTAGGCAATAAACTCTTTACATAATCCCTAGGTTTTTTTTTCCCTTGAAATTTTTTTTAATGATTATACTTGAAAGGGGCACCAAGTTAAGAATGCCGGGGGCGCCACCGACCGTAGGGCCGGCCCTGCTTCTATGACTTCCCTGAACCCTGCTCCCACCTTTGATTATCTTCCCTCCAGTCCCCAACCGACTTGGAACACCTATGGGAATGTCTTCTTTGGCATCTACATAGTAGCGGTCATCTCCATAGCATGGGGCATTTGGCAGAGACTACGGTTTTCGCATGTGTACGAACACTGAGCGCACAACCAACTGTAACATGAACACACGACAGACACACGATAGTAGTGTAGCTCCTTTCTTTATTCAACTCAACAATACAACAACAGAAGAAAAGACATGTCATCTGGTCCCCCGTGAGACCCAGCATTATGCAATAGCAATACAGAGCAGTTTGTAATCATGTCTTCAATCAATAATAGTCAAGATTAACAAATCAAATACATTATTTGTTAAACGGTTACTTGTCATTAAATTAAACAAATGTAGCAGCCAACTCAATGACGCAGGCTCGGAAACATGCATTTAAAAAATGTAAAGTTACAGACTTATCTGCCCCAACTTATGTCCCTTTGCTCTTGCCTTAGTTATACATCTCTAACTAACCCAATCCCAGCCCAGAGCAATGGAAATAATGATTTATTAGTGTTACGTATGTTGGTGGGCAGAACTGGTGGGGACACCCCCTCCCCCCCCCCTTTCCCCCTTCCCAGAGAACATACAGAGAAGAAATGAAAATGAGGGTAAAATAAAATAAAAAAATTACTGTAATTCCACTTAACCTGCTTTCAGTATGTCATGCCCTGGGGGGTTAGGATGAAATTAGTAGGAGATATGCCTATGATATATTTAACATTGTTCTACAGCTGGTATCAGATGAAACACACAAAGCAGTTCATCCAAACTACTGGTACTGGTACTGTGAAGCAATGAACCAATGATACCACACAAAATAAAATCTTCTTTTAAATTTCTTCAGCAATAAAGTGTTATCTTCAACTTAAAAAAATATCTACATAAGATCAATTTACTGATTCGTGTAGGAGTTTCTTTACATTTTAGATCTGTATAAAATTTTTTTTAAAAAATTCAATCTGGAAAAAAGTTTACTTAAAAAATGCTTTAGGACATAAGACATAAGTCAGACTTTGATATTAGTGAGATTATGAAAATGAATAAAAGTATATGCCGACATATTTTTGTTTTGATTTCATATTAGAAGCTTTCAATCTTACGGAAATACTAAGTTACTGAATAAAATATTTGTTTCACACTAATTCAAAAGATAAATTATAAGGCCACTCATTAATTAATTGTAAAAAAAATTTAAGTGTTTAAAAAAATTAAAAAAATAAGATGTAAAAAAAAAAAAGATTGAGACTGGCTTAACAGCCACCAACCCCACCAACCTTTCTGTCCCTCTCCTCCAACCCCAAATGAATATCTCCCATGGACCCCAAAGTTTGAGTTTAATAAAATTTTTTTTAAATTTTCTTGATTCTTATTCATGAGTCATACATCTATACTATGATGAAGCATCTTAACTATTATGATACTCTGCGTCTATACTATGACACCCCGCAACTATACTATGATACCCCGCATCTATACTATGATACCACGCAACTATACTATGATACCCCGCATCTATACTATGATACCCAAGTACAATAAAATTAAACTTTGATTAACCTGCTTCTGTTGTCCTTGAAATGAGCAGTGTGCTTTAAGTAGATGGTTTAAAGAGTTAAAAAAAAAAAATTATGTATATCATTTTGTTTATTAGTAACACGTTCTTTGGGGATTTAATTCCAGTACGGTAACTTCCAAGTAACAATTTGTCTAACAGGAAATGTATTCAATGCATAAATATTTATTTCAAATATTTTCTCCCACACCTGACTAAATATTTGAAAATAAAATGCTTTAAAAATAAAACAGAATTTTCATTTTAAAACACAGTTTCCAATAATGCGGAAATACTGATTCAAAAAAATGGGACATTGCTCCTGATACATCAAATTTAAGTTTTAAATGAATTCACAACATTTGTTGCAACATTTGAAGTATACAAAATATGTCATGATATTTACTCAACACAATGTAATGACACTTACAAAAAAAAACTACGTCATGACGCTTACAAAACACCATGATATGATGCTTACAAAACACTATGATATGATGCTTAAAAAAAAACCAAGTCATGGTGCTTACAAAAAAACACATGTTTATGATGCTTACAGGAAAACAATGTCATGATGCTTACAAAAACACCATTTTATGATTCTTACAAAAAAACAACATGTTATGATGGTAATGCAGCTTGAGGTGAAAGATGAATTGTTTAAAGCCATTTGCTCAACACGTAGACTATGAAATCAGTACCTCATGAAGAATAGTTGCCTGAAATATTTCTATGGACCCACAAAGAATAGTATAAAACAACAGGCAAAGGAATGCATTTTTTAAATTTAAATCTATGAACCCTTTTAGTAGTCAGAAGCCACACATAACTCCACTCTAAGAATGAAACATCAGCATTGCTACAAAGTGGTTTTCAACCCTAAGAATGAAACCTCAGCATTGCAGCAAAGTGGTTTTCCACCCTAAGAATGAAACATCAGCATTGCAACAAAGTGGTTTTCCACCCTATGAATGAAACATCAGCATTACAACAAAGTGGTTTTCCACCCTAAGAATGAAACATCAGCATTGCAGCAAAGTGGTTTTCCACCCTAAGAATGAAACAAAGTGGTTTTCCACCCTAAGAATGAAACAAAGTGGCTTTCCACCCTAAGAATGAAACAACAGCATTGCAGCAAAGTGGTTCTAAAAACCAGTTTGAATTATATCATGCTTCTGGCATTTGAAAACGATGAGAAATATATCATGCAGCGGTTAGAAAAAATATATATATATATTTCAGTAGCCAAAACTTTTTTATGAGCAAGGACAGTGCTTTTTTTTTTCTTAGCAAAAGTGGATTAAGAAAATGATAATTTTTTAAGGGACCAAGTTAAAAATTTAAAACACCCCCCCTGATACTTTTCATGCTGCAGGTTGACACCCTGTATTTTTTTTTCCTTCCCTGATTGGGACTCAAAAATGATTTTTCTTCTTACCACTGAGAATGGAATCGAGAAAGCTGAAATCTTTGGATGACATAATGAAATGTTATTTATGAGAAAGAAATCTTGTCAAGATTACAAGGAGGCGAACAAGGATAAATTATTTTTTGAACAGAAGGAATACCATGGTATCCTGTGCTGGAGTAACAAGTCATTTAAGGACAATGACACAAATCAAATAAATTAATGGAAAAAAACAACAACAAAGTTTTCTTTAAATAACTGAAAGCTTTCTATTGAAAGAGCTAGTGTGTGACTTGATTCTTAAAATATGATGAAATTTTATGTGGTATGATGACATCACCATCCCCCCTTTTTTTTTCAGGAGTAATGTTAAATGTAGATTAAATGTTAAATGAAAGATTGAAAAAAAAAAAATCAAAGTCATTAATAATAAACATGACAAATAATTTAAAAAAAAATAATCATTGGCTAGTAAAACAAGATGTAAAAGCCGCTAGAAAAATATATTTACAAGTACCGCTCTACTTGTCATTTACATAAACATGATTGTTTAAATTTTAAAAAAAAAGAAGAGGAGAAACATGTCTCCATCTTTGTAACCTGGAATTAAGTGGATCCAGACAATTGTGGACCTTCATGGCAGATGTTCACCATAAAATTTTTTTGGACTAAAATAAAATCTATCAAAATGGACTTCCCAAGCTTTTGTTTTTGAAAGCTTAACTTGCTCAAAGGGCAAACAAATGGAGCAAATATGTCAATTTTTAAAGCCTTCTTCAACACGGCATTCATTTGTTTTGTCCAAGCAAAAACACTGTAACTCCGTCCACTGCCCTATAGTGGGGGATCATATCCTCAACCATATCCCCTAGAAACATCAACAAATTGTTATGTATCCTCATTGTTACTGGAGTCACTGTAAACATATACCATAATGACGCCTAAGGAGTTTGTTTAAAAATCCTCATCATTGCTTTGGACTTTGGTATGGCGCAGTACATAAATAATGTATAATTTGTTTCTGATATCACACTGGGGTGCCAGGGGTAATCCCATAGCTTTGGCTGTACTGTTGAGCTTCGGGGGATGTGATGTACTCCACGTTGGACTCGTGAGGCGTCAGCTCCATGTACTCCCTGGACTGGAACAGCCGCGGGGGCTTCCTGGGGCCAGCGGCGACGGGCGTGTACCCGAGGTTGCCCACAGACATGCTCTTTGGGGTCGCCTGGGTCATCCGGTGGGGAGGGGGCGTGGTCATGGGGTACCTCATGTCACGGTAATCCCTGTACTCTCTGTAATCCAATGGGTTTGGGGTCTGCCGGTGTAAGTCTGGCCTCGGGCTACTGTCACTGCTAAAGTCTGAATACCTGGGTGCCAAGGCCATGACCGATCTGGTGCTGCCGATGGCTCTCGGCATGGAACCGTTGACACTAGGCGGGTAGTGGAAGCTGCTCAGTCTTTTACTATTGTCGCCGTGGCGATTTGGTGTGCTGGCATAGCTGCTGGCGCTTCCTATCCTAGCAGACCCCCCATAGATGCCGTCCCCCTGAGAATGCGGGTGCTGCAACGAGTTGGTCAGCGAGTCATACACTGGGTATTGAGCATAGTCCTCCACCGGTTCGTCCGAGTCGAAAACGGAGGGAGTGTAACGTTCCAGCAGTGGCGTGGCTGACCCGGTGTGCGAGCTTTCGTAACGCGGGTCGGGGCCCTGGGGATACTGGGGTGGCTGAGATGGGAAATCCCCGGGGTCTGTAAGCTCACTGCCGAAGGACACGTAGGTATTTCCGTTGTTGAATGGGGAGCCGGGCTGCTGAAAGATGAACATGGGCTCGGTGGTGTCGTCCAGGTCGAGCGGTCGTTTCACCGCGGTGGTGTTGGAATCGTTGGTGTTGTTGGATGTGGATCGGTCATCGTCGATGTTGCCGTCCAGCTTGTCTTCCATCGACTTGCTGCTCTGCTTGGTGTCATTGAGACCGGATATGTCCCCATTGCTCATAACTTCACTGCGGAGGAAAACAGAATTAAGGTTACTGAGAGTTTCAGGCCAAGGCATGAAAAAACATGTCGCATGTATTTTATTTGTCAGATATAATAGACCCTGCCAATCAATTTTTCCCACGAGTTTAAGTTAAATTCTGGTATGTTTTGGTTTAAATTAATATGTAGGCCTATTGCAAATGAAGCAATTGATTCTTCAGATGGTTTTTTTGGTTAAAGTTAAAGAAATTTAATTTCCCCTTAGACCAAGTGGAATAGTGTGCCAAGATACAATTACAAGTCAATGGCTACAACTGCAGTGTGCCGTGATACAAGTCAGTGGTTACAACTGCAGTGTGCCGTGATACAAGTCAGTGGTTACAACTGCAGTGTGCCGTGATACAAGTCAATGGTTACAACTGCAGTATGCCATGATACAAATCAATGGTTACAACTGCAGTGTGCCATGATACAAATCAATGGTTACAACTGCAGTGTGCCATGATACAAATCAATGGTTAGAACTGCAGTGTACCATGATACAAATTAATGGTTACAACTGCAGTGTGCTATGATACAAGTCAATGGTTACAACTGCAGTATGCCATGATACAAGTCAATGGTTACAACTGCAGTGTGCCATGATACAAATCAATGGTTACAACTGCAGTGTGCCATGATACAAATCAATGGTTAGAACTGCAGTGTACCATGATACAAATTAATGGTTACAACTGCAGTGTGCTATGATACAAGTCAGTGGTTACAACTGCAGTGTGCCGTGATACAAGTCAGTGGTTACAACTGCAATGTGCCGTGATACAAGTCAGTGGTTACAACTGCAGTTTGCCATGATACAAATCAATGGTTACAACTGCAGTGTGCTATGATACAAGTCAGTGGTTACAACTGCAGTGTGCCGTGATACAAGTCAGTGGTTACAACTGCAGTGTACCATGATACAAGTCAATGGTTACAACTGCAGTGTGCCATGATACAAATCAATGGTTACAACTGCAGTTTGCCATGATACAAGTCAGTGGTTACAACTGCAGTGTGCCATGATACAAGTCAGTGGCTACAACTGCAGTGTGCCGTGATACAACCTCATTTCCTCTGGTAGGGACATTAAGGGAAACATGTGGGTGGGGCGAGAATGTCTAAATATTTGACCGTTTTGTTCCCCCTTATTATCTCCAAGGTAAAACTTAACTAGGTTGATAGTTGGATAGATACCTGTTAATAAAGTGCTGCTTGATGTTGGCGCGGATGATTTCCTGCTTTTCTTGTTTTCTCCTCTGCACGCGGTTCACCGTGCAGAAGATGAGGATGCCGATGACAATGAAGAGGATGATCCCGCAAACGACCGCCACGGCGATGACTATGCTCCTGGTGTCCACCCCGGCGTTGCCCGTGGTGGCGCTGGGCGGCACCAGGGACACCGAATCGAACGCGATTCCCTGGAGGGTCAGCTTGTACTCGGTCTTCTTTGCGCCGAGGATGTTTTGGACGAAGCACTCGTACCTGGCGATGTCGGCGTACTGAAAGTTGAATATCTTGAGCTCACTCACTTGGATTTTCTCGCCACGGCTGCTCGTGTTTGAGGACGCCACGGTGTACTTGTGTACGTCTTTGGACACGTCGATGAGATCATTGTTTCTGAGCCACTTCGCCTCCACGTCGGGCACAGACGTGTATTTACACATCAGGGTGGCGTTGTCGCCCTTTGCCCAGTCTTGAGTTGCGCTGCTCGACTTCATCATGACTTCGCAGGCCAGCTCGTCCATGGGCAGGGAAGCGAGATCTTTGTCTTTTACTATGGACGGGCTGTCGCACCTGATGTAGTACCCCGGGGCCATCCAGACCTCCTCGGATGTCTCGTTCATCCACTGCCTCAGCCACCTCATGTTGCAATCGCAGGTCCATCGGTTGTCGTAGAGGTGGACTTGTTTCAGGCTCTGTTTGGAGGCGTTGAAGGCGTCTGACGGCAGGCTCGACAGCTGGTTGTACCGGAGCTTGAACATTTGCAGCGACCCCAGACCCGCCATCGCCCCGTAATCTATCCTAGAGATGCTGTTCCCGTTGAGATCCAAAAGCTGCAGCTTGGAGAGTTTCGCGAAGACGTCTTTGGTGAGCACCTGGATTCTGTTCCCTGACAGAATGAGCTGTAGCAAGGACTTGGCGACAACGTTGAGCGCCGAGGACGGGATGTGCTGAAGCAGGTTGTTGGAGAGGTCGAGATTGTTGAGGTAATCCAAGCTATCGAACGCGTTCGCCTGCACGGTTTTGATGGAGTTGTTGCGAAGGCAAAGATAGCTGATGTAGCCGTAGCTGATGAAGCTGATGTTTTTCAGCGTGGGGAAGTGGTTCCCACTGAGGTCGAGGCTCTGGATGCTCTTGTGCAGGCTCCAGGGCACGTGCTCTAGCATGAGGTTGCTGCAGTTGGCGAACGTGTGCGTGTCGCCGTAGGTGCAACGCATGTCCGAGCCCGTGACGGACAGTGACCCCGTCACCACTAGCGCCAGGGACACAAACCCAAGCACTAGTGACAGTGCCGGGCGGGCCGTGTGCGGTCCCCCCGCGACTCTCATGTCCGCGGTCGTTGTAGCAGAGCTCCTTCACTGGGGCCTATTGCGTTTCATGTTGGCAGTGGCTGATTCTTGAAGGTGCCCGCTAAAAAATAATGTGTGTTTGGTAGAGGCAGTCGGGCTATGTGGTACTCCTGGTATGACACCATATACTGTTTTACTCCTGGTATGACACCATACACGGTTTTAACATACCGGTATTCTTTTTAGTAGTTGTGTTTCTACGGCAAGAAATAGATCCAAGAATGAAATATAAAAAAAAATCGAAATGAAACGGGGCCCAGTTGGATTGCAGTCTGTGTTTGTGCGGCTATTCGGCCGGTGTTTTAAAGTATGCGTTCGGCAAATACCGTGCTTGCGTTGTATTGAGATGCGTCCAGCTGTTGACCAATTGAGGGGGATTTCCTCGCGGGCGAACTTTATCGCCGACACCGAAAATTGAGCCCTGGTGTCGAATGCTCAAGGCTAAAAATAACTCACTCCTCCCACGTGAGAAACGTGCGATGTCCTAGTTCGCCGTGTACAACCTAACCGGCTCGTACAGAGAACACACGGATATTTTTCACTGTAACTTATAACAAACTTGTAGAGTTGCAAAATCCGCTTGGCTGAATTTATCCGCTGAAATAAATAGCATATCCTTGAACTTGCAATAACCAAACGTTCCTATTAATAGAAAAAGATGGCTCCAACTTGGGATTAAAAAAAATAATGTGTATTATATGTAATCCATTAGTGGCACGGGTTAGGGTTAAGCACGTGACATCAATATGGTTGCAATCCTTAGCGGTGAAACCTTGGCAATTTTAATCCATAATTATTTCACGCCGTGCACTGAAGCCTGAAGCCACTGGTATTAAACGTCAACATTTGAGGAACCCCCACATCCGGAACCACGGCGTCTGACCAGTGTGGCTTGAGGAGAAGAAACCAACGGGAACACAAGTCATCCAGTGAGCTTGTTTATTTATGTAGAATGTCCCTGGGAGAGTCCCGTATCACATCTCCGAGCTTGAAGAGGTCTGAGCTCTTACAGGGGTCCGGGGGAAAACACGGGAAATCTTATTTAGCACTCCCCGCACTCGTGCCTGGCCGGGCGGACGGTTCTATTTAATCAGACATTATCTCCTCGAGGCTACCAGGTCTTTCCGTGGGTGACTAACAAGAAAATCGTTCGGGGGTGGTCACAGTAGCCTCTGTCCTGACTCGTTATCCGGATATATCTCCCTCTTAGGCCCACACACCTTGAAACTCAGCACTCCCGACAAGAGGGCCGTGGAATGCCAGCGAAAAAAAATATCAAATCCACAGAAACCAGTAGTGACCACATTGAACAGCCGGAGGTTAATACCTTTTAAGCATCCACTATTTAAGTCCATTAGTGTTCCAAATCCTCGGCCGTCCGCTGCTATAATCCAAGGCCTTCCCGAGTTTTAAGTCGGGCCTCGGAAGAGGAGGAAGAGAAAGAAGAAAAAAAATTTCCCCGACGTGCCTTCACAACACGCCCAGAGTTGAATGGCGAGGAGTGAAGGAATACCAGAAGAAGAAGAGAGAGAGGGGGGAAAAAACAACAACAGCAAGAGGAGAGCAGTCCCTCACGCTCCTCCACTGTCGTGCCTGCCGGCTTGTTTCCGTGCCGCCGATCCCAGCACCATCATCGACCGCTTCCCTGTAGCGCTTTGTAGTCTCAGTTTTCTTAAAACCTCATGGGGCATTCATTCTTTATTATTTCCTCCCCTTTCAGCAGATGTGAAGTAATCGTGTTTTACTGGAACAACTAACAACAAAAAATGACCACTGGTCCGATTCGATGACCTGTAATGGAAATAAAATTTATTTGGGTTAACATGAACTTGATTTATTTTAAAAGTTTTTTTTAATTTGAATATATATCGATTTCACGTTGTAGGGAAGCGGTTCTCAACCTGTGGGTCGCGACCCCTTTGGGGGTCGAACGAACCTTTCCCAGGGGTCGCCCATGACCACCTGAAAGCACATAGACTCTACAGTTTTGAAGTAGCAACAAAAGTAAGTTTGTGGCTGGGGGCGCCTAAGGGTCGCAACAACATGAGGACCTGTATTAAAGGGTCGCGGCATTCGGAAGGTTGAGAAACACTGATGCAGGGTGTAGCTCACATAATGTGTACCGTAATCTAATGAACGGTATCATGTGTACTTTAATAATGTAACCAAGTGCTCCAGCAGTGGGGTGTGCAGGGATACGTGCGTCCACTGTGTCTTAAACTTACAACTCCTGAAACTTATTTCTATCCATTCCATGATTAGTTATTCAACGTCCTAATAATAACGTCATGTTACTTGACCGTGAAAACTTCTAGATGTTTTAGAAACAACGAGGTTGACAGATTCATTCAAAGGCGGCTCCATATTTTTACTTTGTTACGTTTTCCGTATTCCCCCCCCCCATATGTTACCAATGTTACTTTGTTACTTTGGGGGGTGGGGTGTGGGTGGGGGGAGGCATTTCCTGCACATGTGGCTTGCAGCTCATCTCGACCAAATCCAACCCTTCATTATTTTTTTCCCTAGTCAACCTTTTCCCTAACCGCTAGCATTTTTTTTAGTTTGGGATCATGCACAGCTTACACTGCTTCTTTGTCATTTGTGCAGTAGTCCTAGCTTACCATCGTACCCCCATCCCCTCGGAGCCCTAGGGAAGCCTGTCCATGTAATCATGCACAGCGCTGTTATTCTTTTTTTTTTTTTTTTTTTTTTTTTTTTTTTTTTTTTTTTTTTTTTTTTTGTTTTTTTTTTTTTTTTTTTTTTTGAAACTTGGCCTTTATTTCATAATATTACTCAACTTGATATACAGTGCGGTGTCAACAAATTCAAATAGTTAGATTTAGATCAGTGGTTCTCAACCTTCGTAATGCCGCGACCCTTTAATACAGTTCCTCATGTTCTGGCGACCCCCCAGCCACAAAATTATTTTCGTTGCTACTTCATAACTGTAGAGCATTTGTGTTTTCAGATAGTCTTACGCGACCCCGGGAAAAGGGTCGTGCGACCCCCAAAGGGGTCGCGACCCACAGGTTGAGAACCGGTGATTTAGATCATTGTTTAGTTGATTCAGTGCAGGTACGGTACATTAACATTAAGATACCAATACAGTTAACATTCGCTTTTATTGCCTTCTAAAATTCGCTTTTGATCGGTCCCAACTTTAAACAAAAAAAAGCTTATATACTGAACCAATAAGCTTATTTCCAATAAGGGGTAGCAGTTATTATAAGTTGTTATAGATAAATTGAAAAAAAACCAGCCATAAGCTGATAAATAGAGTGGCTATAAAATAAGATAAATTCGAAGTAGCCATAAGCTGATATATAGTGGCCGCGGTTATAGACCAGGGTTGGGGGTAAACGAGTTTCGCAGCTGCTTGAACACACAATCTCGTGCCTACCAGCCAGCTGCCTGGTTTGGGGGGTGAGGGGAGGGTGTATCTACTGGATCGAAAGGATGATAACGGTAGACCCCCGTTCTTACTGACTTTAGGAAGGTACGCAGTCCTATTGAAATATTGCTTTTAAGAGATGCACACGTTCAGTTATTAGATCAGAGAACCAGTTTCAACGGTGCTGAAATCGTTAAAGTTTCGGGGCGACTCTGTCCCACTGAGCTTTCTTTCACAGTCGAACACTTAAACTAAGTAATAATAACTCAGCACAAGGCGTGAGGACATTATTATAATGTTAGCCATGACCACTTGAACCAGCACAGTTGATGGCAGTGTACCGAGTTAAAACGGTCGTATATCAAATCAGAGTAATAACAGGGTGACGGGCTACTATCAGGGTGTCGGGCCACTTCGAAACGGTTTCCACGAATCTTCTAAGCAGGTTACTTCTGTGTACTTTTGTATACTCGTCAGTGTCCATGGCACGACACAGAGAGACGGCAACACGCCACAAGAGTGGTGCTCTGACAAGAGTGATATTCGCACAAGAGTGGTGCCCTCACAAGAGTGATATTCTCACAAAGAGTGATGCTCTCACAAGAGTGATTCTCTCAAAAGAGTTTTGCTCTCACAAGAGTGATGTTCTCACAAGAGTGGTGTTATCACAAGATTGATGCTGTCGCAAAAGTGGTGCTCTCACAAAAGTGATGCTGTCGCAAAAGTGATGCTCTCACAAGAGTGATGCTCTTGATGTATTATAACGACGTATCTCTTATCCCTTACACACCAACACCCCCCCCCCATCCCAAACAATGTTCTCTTTAAGTTGCGCGGCTGCGCAGCTATCTCACAGACGCCGCGCAGCAGTTTTGAGTATCCGCGCAGCAAATTTCCATGTAAGTGTGTGTTTGTGTTTGTGGGCTGTACAATTTTGCACACAAAAAAGAAAATTGATGCTGTAAAACCTTGCACACAGCTGGATGATTTTGCACACGAATCAGCAAACCTTAGAGGGAACATTGATCCCAAACCATTTTCCTCAAAATAATCACAAGCACTATCATACTCACTCCATAACATCACCTACACTATATANGTAGCTATTCTTTCTTTTTTTTTTAAGAACACCTACAAACTTGTTATAAGTAATAATTTTAAAAAATTTCAGTTTGTTAATTATTGAGCACATGTATACATTAGTTAATTATTTTTTAAAATTTTCATTACTGATGTCATTGTTACGTCTTCTTTTTTTTTTTTTTTAAAGAATATGAAGACATGTGTAAAGCTATATATCCAAGTTTAATTAAAATAGGATGCTGTATGTAAATAGATAAACATCTACTTTCTAAACAGACATATTTTATAGCTTACCTCAGTTAACACTGTACTTAAAGAAACCACACCTACAACAACTATCATTTGAGTTAATGACGACACTTGGGTTTTTTATAATAGCATTACAGTGAGCTTTTAGATGAGACTTTTCTGCCATTTGTTTTTGCAACAAAGCATATTTTTTACTTAGTTTTAGGGCCTGCCTTCCCTTTTATATTTTATAAAACTTGTAGAAAATAATCCAAAAGAGTACATAGTTCACCAAACTGTAAGGCATACACAGTGTCATGGACACAGTTGTAAAAATGCTTGTAAAGATTGTAGTAGAATAAATGTCAATTTTAAAAAAGGGTGAAGTGTTCTGTCATGCAAGATTTCATTGTTGAGAATCATATTTTTTTAGATTAAACTCTAGACCATTATTTTGATTATTTTCTCATTTTAAATAATGCTGGAATATTAGGTGCTTGTTTTTGTTCTTTCATTTCTTTTTTTTTTTTAAAACAAGGTCAAATTTTAAAACAGCTGGCTATTGTTTTTTTTTTTGTTTTTTTTAAATTCCGCTGTGGACATTGCCAGGGTTTGTGGTTTTAATGCTGTGTTTGACCTACTGTGTGCCATCTTTTGTGGTCATGAGCTGAATTTGACCCAAATTTTGGTTAAAGTAACAACCTGTATATCATAAATTAGAATGGTTGCGAGATGAAATTTAACGAAAAATTAAACTTATAAACAATGAGTTATGCATTCAATAATTTTTTCTTTCAATAATTGCATAATTTTAGATATGTGTTGTCAGAAAATGTGTACACGTTCCAAGTATAGTTCCAAGTATACATAGAAGTCACTTGAAGTTGAATGAAAGACTTTCATACTTTCAATACTTAGTATTTGGTAAAGTGCAATTTGGGATATGTGAAGACAGAAGCAAGTTCTCAACAAAAAAAAATCGTCATCATCATGCATATACGCCATCAAGGATGTACGTCATCATCATGCACGTACGCCATCAAGGATGTACGTCATAAGCATGCATGTACGTCATCAAGGAAGTACGTCATCATCAAGCTTATACGCCATCAAGATGTACGTCATCATCATGCATATAGCCATCAAGGATGTACGTCATCATCATGCATGTACGCCATCAAGGATATCTCCTCATTTTACTGTCTGCCACCACTCTTTCAATGTTTCTCCAAGTGCCAGGCAGTGCTGTACCTTGACTTAATGGCACCCAGGGTGAACTCCCAAAAGTCACCCCCTAACACACACACACACACACACACGTCATGTAAACTTTGTTACAAATAACCTCAAAGAAGTTTCCCCTCTCGCACCCCCCCCCCAATCCCCGTAGTAGGTTTGCCACTGCGTCCAGGTTGTGTCCTTTGCAGGATGTCCTATGCGAAACTATACTGATAGAGTGGTGTCTTCTGAAGTTTAGGATTCGTCAACACGTCCGTCCATTATTTGGTGCGTTCTTCTAGAGCATTGATTCATCACATTTACAATATGTTTTGTTACTGGTATTAGAAGCGCTCTTACGTTTGAACATTTTATAATTTTCAATTTTAATAAAATTAAATGAACATTTTAATCATCAAAAAAAAACACCAAAAAAAACAATGATAATAAAGAACACAAGAAGAAATTCTGCAACGAATTTTTGAAATACTTTAATATAACCATTTAAATGTATTTTGGTGGATTTTTAAGCTTTCAAAAACCTATTCAGAAATAATGCTGGCTCTGGGCAAGCTCTGGTGTTTATAAACGAAGATGTTGAGCCACCGTCCTCATATTTTCCAGAAACCCTGCGGATCCAAACTAACAGTTCATCAACATCTTGAGCCCAAGCTTAGTACCAAGGTTTTACGCAAGCCTGCTTCCATTCGGTGAACCTGGATAGCAACCCAACGGGGAATGCAAATGGTATAAAGGGGCTGGGCTTAATCGTGTTGGAACGAAAATCAGCATGCTGCATTTCTAAGCGCCACAAACAGGATAGACGATGATTTGAACCCAATCAAGAAAGCTGGTACATTAACGCAGCCAACCACTTGAACTACATTCGACTGCATCAACAATTATCATTACGAGCAGAATGCTATCAAGAGCTCACAGATCATGTCGCCACGTTGGCTCAGAATGCTATCAAGAGCTCACAGATCATGTCGCCACGTTGGCTCAGAATGCTATCAAGAGCTCACAGATCATGTCGCCACGTTGGCTCAGAATGCTATCAAGAGCTCACAGATCATGTCGCCACGTTGGCTCAGAATGCTATCAAGAGCTCACAGATCATGTCACCACGTTGGCTCAGAATGCTATCAAGAGCTCACAGATCATGTCGCCACGTTGGCTCAGAAAGCTATCGAGAGCTCACAGATCATGTCGCCACGTTGGCTCAGAATGCTATCGAGGGCTCATAGATCATGTCGCCTATTTGGTTTAGAATGCTAACTATCAAGAACTCACAGGTCATGTCGCTACTTTGACTCAGAATGCTATCGAGAGCTCACAGATCATGTCGCCACGTTGGCTCAGAATGCTATCGAGGGCTCATAGATCATGTCACCTATTTGGTTTAGAATGCTAACTATCAAGAACTCACAGGTCATGTCGCTACTTTGACTCAGAATGCTATCAAGAGCTCGCAGATCATGTCGCTACTTTGACTCAGATTGCTATCATAAGCTTACAGATCATGTCGCCTCTTTGGCTCAGAATTCTATCAAGAGCTCACAGATCATGTCGCCACGTTGGCTCTGAATGCGAACATATAGTTGCTGGCGTCGCAGTATTCTGCCTTCAAGTTTCAAAGGATCGCTGAGAAACAATGCGAGGGCGCTGCAAGGATTCAATGTCTACATTCGCAACGTTTAGTGCCTGGTCTCTTCATTACATTCACGGTTAATCATAATTGGCCAGCAATCACCGAGAACTTTCGTGCATGCAAACACCAAACTGTCCTGATTTTGTGGCCCGAGGTTTTTCACTATTAAATTGAAATCGTTGTTGGCTGGCTTGACCGTGCCTAGCGTGTTTGGAAAAGCAAAGCCTTTTTTTTTTTTTTTTGGATACACCATCGAATTCCAAGAGCGAGGCTTACCCCATGGTGACGCTCTCATATTTTGGTAATTTGACGCTCAGAGGATAAGTTAACAATAATTGTCATTATTGGAGAGCGAATCGATCAGTTCGGCATCGCCAAAATTCCTGCTGAGACAGAAGATCCTCACCTACGTCAGATCGTCCTAAAATGTATGATGCACAGACCGTGCGGTGACAAAATCGCTACGCGCCTTGCCTGGAAAATGGAGCTGCAAAAAGAGTTTCCAAAGCGGCTCAATGGCACAACGAAAATAACTTTAGATGGTTAACCAGTGTATCGGTGTCGCAGTACAGTCCAAGCAACTGTTGGAAGCAGTGGCGTAGCGAGGATGTTTGGCGCCCGGGGACGAGATTCGCGCCGGGGACAAGATCCATTTTTAGCGCCCCTTTTTCTTTTTTTCAACTCTCAAACCCATTATTTTCATCAATAAAATAATATCAAAGCACATTTTGGCGCCCCTAACTAGCTGGCGCCCGGGGAATCTGTCCCCCCCTGCCCCCACCACGCTACGCCTCTGGTTGGAAGGGTCATGATGGACAATAGATACGTCGTTCCTTACAATCCGTAGGCCTACTTGCCATGTACAATGAATATTAGTTGGGCTTTATTCACTAACCTTCTCCTGGGGAGAGTCTAGCTAAGCAAACTCTCTCCTTCGCACTGGGAGACAGACGATTTTCGTGTTGTTTTTTTTCATTTGTTTTTTTTGTTGTTGTTTTTTTTTTAAGCTTCCGGCGTTTGGGTCCGCCGTAATAGTCCGCTGCACCGCGTAGAGGCAAAACCCTTGCAGTAGGCTAGATAAGTGGTTGGCAAATCGCGGCTCTTTTTACACTGAGTGCGGCTCTGCTAGCCGACCACAAATCGGTTTCGACTTCGAAAAACATTGTTCTAGACAGGTTCTTGAAAATAATTTTGGCTCTCAAAATTTTCTTTATCGGCCCTGCTGCTGATTTTTGGCTCTTTTGACTAATGAGTTTTCCGACCACTGGGCTAGATGAATCATAGGGTAACAGGGACCCTACTTGCCGGCATTGCAGTCTGGTCCCGGAAACTCTAAAGCATCTGTTGACCCGAATGCCCGTCACTAGATGTCTCACTGGGAGGCCAAGGCGGCGGGAGAGCCCTACGTTAGGAAAATGTTATATGGTAGAGCTCAACAGAATATGTGCGTTAGTTATTCCGTACTTGCTGCTGAAATACAATACAAGGAGATGACAATGTTGAAAACATGACTATGTTAATTTTTCGCTGATGAAGGCTTTTTGCTGACACCTTCGTTGTTTTGTTGTGTTCGTTTACATTTTTCCTCAGGTTTTCCCATACTTTGTTTCGCTCATCTCCATAGTAATATTCTACTTTGATGACGAGATTAAAAAAATAAAATAAATAAAAAATTAAAAAAATAACCCGTTCTTAGGCATACGCTGACTACGCATCCGCTTAGGGCCCCGAACGTGAGGGGGCCCCCGTGAGGCGCCCTCGATCCCCCTTTTTTTTTTTTAACTGGCACTGCAGCCGTCTGTGGCACTCACATTACCTTCCTCATCCTGAAATGTATCATTCTGTGTTGAATCCGGAGGCAGGGGAAGGGAAGCAGCAGGGGGGAGCTTTTGGGGTGGCAGACAGGAAATCGGCAGAATAGAGGTGCCGCAGTGGTGGGTGGTGTTTTCTCCTCAGCTCGAGGGAGCTCCACCCCAGGACCCCCCTTCCGGGGCCCCCAACCTACGCTCCATGCTTAGGGCCCCCAAACTCCTAATAACGGCTCTGTTTTGAGTTATTAAAAATACATCAGCATAAAGTAAAACGTATTTATACATTTATTTATATTATAATTCATCCTGGGGGTAGGGGGGTTATAAAATGTTGACATAATTATATAGGGGGTTCATTGAAAGTTTGAAAGTTGTTGACAAGGTGGGGGGGGGGGGGCAAAGATTGAGTACAAATTGTTGCCGTAATTAATGGACGACCCCTTTGTAAAAAAAAATAATAAAAAAATATACAAATGTCATCAATTTACTTGAAGAATTTGAATTATATATTTTTAGGGGGGTGGGGGTGGGGGTGGGAGTGGGGTGGGAGTGGGGTGGGGATAGACTAACTGTAATTTTAAAAAAACAAAAACTTTTACAAATGATGAAATAATTCGCTGTCTTGTTGTCTCAATTTTTAAAAAGTTGCTGTGTCGAATTCACGCTCACCCATCTATTAAAATTGCGCCATCCCCCCCCCTCCCCCCCCCCCTCATAAAGTTTATTCAATCCTGTTGATGCGGTAATCGTACTGCTGTAATTTAAATATCGTCAAGGCATGATTACTATAATTCCGATAACGGTTATTCCTTACACACACCACAACATTGACACAGTGTCACACAACACACAGTACAGTATTTTCTCATTTCTAATAATTGACATTTATCTATTGATCGACGTCAACTTTTTCATAAACCTGCTTTAGTCTGATGTGTGGAAAAATTGCTATCTGATTTTAAAAAGGAATATTAAAATGTAATCAGTTTATTTAGATATTATTATTTTTATTTTGTAAACAGATTCAGGTTGCAAACGAGGACGAGGAGGAGACAGTGATTTCGGATTTGTAAACAATCATTTAAAAAATGTAATTGAAATTGTAAATTAGTTTAGGCCTAACAAATCTCATCATACTCATAGCATAGAGTTGTACGGTATACCGAGTTGTACTACAACATTGGTCCATAATAGTCTATAGTCCTATATTTCTATAATCTGACTTATACTTATACGTTTTTTGTTGACAATGTAAATGTAGAGTCAAAGTAGTGAGTAGTGTAGCTCATCTATACCAGTGGTCCCCAAATGGGGGTCCGTGGACCTTCACAGGTCCGCATGCCTAACGCTGCTGGTCCCAATAACATAAATATTTATTGTCAAATAGAAATAAAAGTATACAATAAATCATGCACCGGTCCCTTGTAAAATTTTGAAACTTGTTCATCGGTCCGCCAAACTTAAAAGTCTGGGATCCACTGATCTATACTATAAACCAGTATCAGTACTAAAATTCTGCTTGCTTTATTTTAAAAAATAAATATATTTATATGATTAATTATGATTCATATTATAATTATGATATGAATCATATATAATATATATTGTTAGCAATAAAGATTATGAATTTGCTTTCCTCCTTTTCTTGTTTTTGTTTCTTTTAATTTATTAATGTTTATTGATTGATGGACTGCATTTAAGTAATGAAATATAAGAACAAGGTATGCTAAATTTGAATTCATAATCATAAACAGGACAAAAGATTTTGAACTTTCGGCTTAGAGCCTTCATCAGAAAACGAGACAAAAAGAAGTATAACAAGTATCAAATGTTTATTGAAGTTTATAGTTACAAAACACTAATACTAATAGTATTACTGTCATGTTGATAAAAGTAATAAATACATTATGTAGGGTCCTATCAATTATGATACAAAGATTCTTTTATTAAAAGTAACCTACTAATAGTATTATACTAATTGCAGAACTTGTTATTTAGCCTTAGGATATGCATATTTAATTATATTACATACATTTGATGTTGCGACAGATAATTTAAAGATGATGGAAGAAACCAATGATGAGCAACCAGAAATGGTCTCACATGAAGAAGCAATGGAGGCAGAAAAAGAGGCAACTCAAACTTCAACATTTTCAATAGGTATCAAATAGACAGTGTGCATTGTGTGATATAAACAAATCATATCAAAAGCATATCATTACAATTAAAAATTGACAGTTATATGGAAAGATTCTTAGATTTACTTGTATGTTTAAAAAGAAATGTGGTAGTTTAAAATGTTTAAGTTTAAAGTGAGATTCATTGTCTATTTATTTAAGCAGTTGAAGGTGTTCTGATTATGTAACATTTTTTTGTTTAGGATCTCCAACGACCTTATTGCCTAAGCCACTAGCAGCACCCACTCCATTACCTGCATTTATTAATATGTCACTTGGAATCATGGGCAATGTAATAAATATTTAACTACTTCCTCATTTGATAACTGATTTTTATCTTTATAAATACATCTTAAGAAAATAAAAATATATTTATATTATTAAAATAAATGCCTCTGATTTTAATTCAATAACAACGTTAATTTATTAATGTTGTAAAAGTGATGTCAGCTATTTGTTTTAGTATTGTATAGCTGACATTAGGCCAATAATTGTTTCCTTAGGGACCATCTACACCAACTGTTCCTACACAAACTTCTCCAGTTTCAACCCCAACACATCCAAAAGCTCCAGGTATAAATAAATTTAAAAGGTTTTAAAATTAAATCTTTATTTCAAAATTGATGATATCATCCGCTGTTAAAAGCATCTCCTTTTTATCTTGCTTTCTTAAAATTCAAGCCCATGAATCATGGCATGATTCAATCATTTTGTCTGAAACTTTCTTGATTAATAGAATCTCCACAGATCCCCCATGAGGTGAAGACTAAGATCCCTGAAGCGGCAGCTGAACCGCAAGGTTTTGTAGCAAGTGCCACTGCAGGAGGTCAGAGTCTCTTTGGTTGGATTTCCAATAACAGTTTGGTCAATCGAGTGGTTGAAAAAACAAAGGTTTGTACTTATTCATTAAATTGACATAGTTCAGGAATATATGATTGTGACAAACGATTATAAGACCAGTGAGATTAAGAAATTTGTTTGCTTCAGGATTGAATTTTCTCTCTATATATTAATATAAATGATAAATCGTGGATTAAAAACCTGCTATTTTTACTATCATGTGCACCAAATTTCAGCTCTGTTGTGATTTAGGAACCAGAGATCTAAGCATTTCAATGTGATACAAAACCTAACCAAAATAAATATGAAATTAATAAGAGTGGGTTTAAGAAAAATGATTAAACTTAAATGACTATTAACAATTAATTGTTGCAAGTGTTTAAAAATGTTTTATTCAGAGTTCAATGGAGACTGTCATAACAACTTTAGATCCTGGAATGCGACAAATAATCTGTGAGTATGCATTTGAACTTAAACAAAAATAACAATTTAAGAAGGGTTCTTTGCTATCAACCTGCTTTTATTTTATCAGTGCTGCTTTTCCTTTGAAATTTTATTATATGCATTAAAGCTATATTCTAAGAAAGGGTCTGTAGCATTTGCCTGACTGACAAAGGTATTCATGGGGAAAAAAGGCTAATTACTCTGATTTAAGATGAATTAGCAAAGAGTTTTTTCCAGCAGGCTTTAAAAGCAATATTATAATTTTATTTATTAAATCAATATGTATTTAAATGAGACATGATAATATGAGATATAATTCATATTAACAAATCGTACATAATTTTTGTTGTCAAACTTTGTATTTTCAGTTTCTGGTGGAGATATTTCAATAACTGTAGCTTCCACCAAGGAAAATAAATTGATTCCTGTGAGAGATGCATTTCAGAAAGTTTTTGGTAAAGCAACAATTTCAGGAAAGGTTTGTATTGGAAGGTTTAAAATATGACATAAAGCTGCTGTATTTCTTTCTCATTGTTTAAATAGTTTTTATTTTATTTATCATTTAATCATTTATGAATTGAGAACGTATCACACTTTTTAAAAAATTGTTGGCTGACAACACAATAGGGCCTAAGCTAATTATAGAAAAATATTTAAATGCATTTTAATATTGTACAGTTTCAGTAAATGTTAGTGCTTCTTTTCTGTTTTAAATTTGATCCATTTAAGTATTTGTTAAAACCATGGATGCCACTCACTGAAAGCTGTGAACTCTGAAATCCCTTTCTAAAAATTTGTTGAAACCTGAATCTTTTACCATTTTTCAAACCCTGAAACTTAACAAACTCATAAAATTCATACACTGCTGAAAGTAACTTGACACAGCAAGAAGCGAGGTGCTTGCAAATGAAAGCGAGAGGTTTGCAAACAAAAGCAAGAGGTCGCAGTACCAGTTCTATTTATAGCGAACCTCGCGCATTCTTACACATTAATTTTTTTTTAAAACCCAGACTCCGTATTTGAATAAACTGAACTGGCAAATCCAGAGCCAGAGATAAAAACTGGCAAAATATTTAGCCTCGCGAATCTGGAATTCTGGGATAATCCGGAAAAGTGGCACTCCTGATTAAAACCTCATACAGATGCAAATTATTATTTTTTTTTTTTTCTTCTTTTAGGACAGCCAAGCAACAACTGCTGCACAGCCTGTTGGTTTTACTGCAGGCTTGAAAGGAGCTGAGGACAGAATTGCTAATCTACGCAACAGCGGCGAAGTTTCTGAAAACCAGACAATTGTTGCAGTAGAGGGCTTTATTGTGGAGATTATACCAGACAGGTTTGCTCTATAGCAACTTATCAATATGTTAGCTAACCTAAAAAATAAGCTCTTTTGATTTAAATCTTTTTATATTTAACTTGTAAAAATATTAATAATTGTGATTCAATATGGCATTCCTTAAAATGTAGATGGTATGAACTGAGCTGTTTGGCTCTGAAAGATCCCACACATGGTATTGAGTTGCAGATGTTCTCTCAACCAACACCAATTGCTACAGAGTATGTGATGACAGCACAGGAAAAAACTCCGTCAGATTACCCTCTAAGGTAAATTTGAAAACCTTTACTTATAAAGCACGTGAATTGATTTAATGTTTACGACCTGAATTGGATCATCTATTTCATAGATTTGAAGAAAAAATGTCAGAATAAATAAAACAAATTGTTTACCTCTATTGGGTACATTTATTTCACAGTAAATAAATGAAGGATAACGAGATGATCTTTTCCTTTGCTTGCTTGTTACCAATATGACTTACATTTTAAAATATATTAAATAAGTTGATTAGTTGTTTGATTTTCTTATCACAATGATTGACTTATGCTAGCCTTAAAATCCCATTTCCTTATTCAGATGGGCTGGTCTGTCTGTCACAATTGGGGAAGTAATAGAGGCAGCCCAACCTCACATTGGTCATGCAGATTGGCAGATGGTTCTATCAGGGGTCTCAAGGCGTCAGTCCTTATCCTTGGCTGCTCAGAGCCTGGCCTACATGTATAAGCAGCAACTACCCACATCTTTTGTCTCATGATTTCAATCATTCGATCCTTGTTTAAAAGTTTTTTTAAAACTATAGTTCATATTAATTCTTGGGTTGTTTAAAATGGATTTCTATGTGAAATAAAGACTCTTATTTTTGTGTTTAATATTACAACTATTGACCTTTTTTGTTTAAACTCATGAACAGTGTTCAATATAAAAAAAAAAAACATGGATGTTTCTGGCTGTGATTGTGTTTTCAATGCTTCTGTTTCAGTTGGTCAGCATTTAAATAGTTGACAAAAATTGGAGTGGTTAGTACAATTTTGTCCAACCGCATTAACCTTTAAAAAGTTGATTTTTAGCTGCTTTTTTTTCTTCTCTTAATGTCCAATCATTGAAATAATTATAGCTTTCAATCTTATGCCATGGAGTCTTATTTGCTAAAATTTTTGTCTCCACATTCATGTTATAGTTTCATGTTTTATGAGCTTTCATAGGGTTATTGCCATTTAATTATAAATTTACTTTGAGGTAGAAATATTTCTATTTACTTACATGTTAATGAATAATTTTTTTACATGTGTACATCCTTTAAATGTTTGAAAGGAAAAAGAATTTTATTTCCTCAGACCTTATCTGAAACATTGAAACTTTGTGTTGAATGTTTACATTTGAAATAAAAGGTGGTCGTTGCTTGCTGTTATAGTAATTTGGAAATAACAAAACATCAAATCTCATGTATAATACAATTGATTACTCAATTTAGGTTGCTAATTCATGGTTGCCTATTACACAGGAGTAAAAGGAAAATTGTACATATTAATTTGTCTAGATACTTCCACTTAAAGTAACTTAAAGGCAAAATCATAGTGTTTTATAAATGAGATTTTACTGTAATTAATATTTTAATGAACTTTTCAGTTAACTTCAGTATAATATGAACCATAGCAACCCAAGATTTTTTTCTTTTTAAATTGATTATAAAAATCAATGTTTAGCAAAGAGAAATATGCATGATTTTTTTTGTCTTGAGTTTTATCTTCCTTTTTTTATTTTTAGCGGATTCTGTTCTGGATTATTTTGTAACTGGAGATATAAAAATAAGTTTGTTTTTTTCTTATATGAAATATATTTATGTAGATTTATGAACAATTCTCTACATGATTAAATTTAACAATTATGTTTACCTGAAAAAATTATCAGAATTTTGGTAATATTGCATACAAAATATGTTTCTTCTTCTATATATTAAGAGCCTACGATCAATTTATTGATCATTTTGGCTCATATGCATGTAGAGGGGATTTGCAATGTTTTTGTGCCAGATTTTGAGGATATTTCACTCGTTGCAAGGGCTACTTTGTGAGGGTATCATGCATTGGGGGTTGGAAGGCCAGAGGCGATAGACGCAGCTGTGTCAATTGTTGTCGCCTCAACTGTTCCTTTTGAAAGCTGTTTCCAGTCCCTGATTTTATTTATTAATTAACTCTCTGATTTCAGCAATGACTCTCAGAACTTATTTTCCTACATACTAACATGGGAGGTTTATCAAACTGGTTAATATTGGTTTTAGGATTCAAGCCTCAAAACCAGTTATTGGTTTTTACAATGCATTCCCAACTGTTCTGCACAGCAAGCTCAGATAGACAAGAATGTTATTAGTAACTCTCTTTCCAGTACATATTCATACCCCAAATTGGTATTATCAATTGTCTAACATGAAACCTGCAGTAGTTATTTTACACCCGCAGAGCATGTGCTGGAGAGCCTATGTTTATAACCAGTGACCACACTGCGATAATGCAATCTGCAAACTTTTTAATATCCATTGACACCTGCAAAGACAAAGCCACCTCAAATTTTATTTTATCTCCCAATTTTTTGAAGAAAAAAAACACAACTTTGACCGTTCCCTGACATCAATCAGCTAACCGCAGTTATTGTTAGAAACCAAGGAAGGTTAACGAGTAGTCTACGTAATTTATAAATGACAGTTTATAATTTTTAAAAGTCTTACATTTAATAAAATTTATACTGGTAGTTATGTCTTTCTCTTCAAAATTTTATAAAAATAATTCTATTAATCGCTTTGTAAAAATCAATAACTGGTTATCTGTTTTGAATCCGATTAACAGTAATCTGATTACTGTTTAACATCCTTATACGAACCTTGTGAAATTGTACCGCACAAATATTATGTATCACACTCTGAAAATGTCTATTGTTTCTTATTTTGTTTGTCAGATATTATATAAATAAAGATAGTTCCAAAGACCCTTTATAATTTTATAATTCAGAAGAGTAAAATACTGATTATTTCTACTCAGAAACAAAATTTCAACCGTATCCGGAAATTTGATCGCAAGAAATTTCGTCGATGGTAAATTGATCAAACGGAAATTGGTTGAATTTTTTTTTCCCAGGTTTTACTTTAATATTTTGCTTCAAAAAGAAATTTGACGAAAATTTTAACGTGTTAACTGAAAAAAAAGTTTCGACCAAATTTCCGTTGGATCAAATTTCCGTCGATCAATTTACCATCGACAACATTTCCTTTGATCAATTTAAACGGCACAAAGTAAAAAATTGATAATTTAAAACTTGCCCTTTTCCTTTTATGGAATATTTTTGAAACGAGTTTAAAAAAAAAAGAAGAGCTCATGCGTTTTATGTCTTAGTTTTTTGGTTTTTGTAAATTAAAAAAAAATGTTGGTGATTAGTCTGTCAGTTTATGTTGATATTAATTACGTGCAAAAAGATACTGGGACTTTCTTTTATTATTTAAATAATTTACCAAAATGAAAGTTTCAAAACAATTTGATGAAATCTATTGGATTAAAAATTGTTGTTAGGATGGCTTATGAATATTTTAATATGCTTAATAATAATATTATAGAGGGTTTCTTTAATGTTATATTACGTTGATTGTGTAATTTTTACATGACATTTGACTAAACATGTATGTAACAACTTAAGAAAGGCAATATAAACTACAATTGTATTAAAAAATGTGTATTTCTTGTCACTTCATTAACAATGAATGTATGAACAATTATTGAAAGGCTAGTGAAAATGATACATTGTGTACAAAAATATCTAAAAGTGAAAATCATAAGAAATTACTGATTTTATTTTATACATTTGAAGTGGGTTCTAGTCTTCCCTGTGTTTTATCAATGATTTCATAGATATTGAGAGCTTCACCTGCGGAAAAAAATTTCGATGGATTAGATTGATACTGAAAATACCATGCAATACATCACCGAAATGTTTGAACAGAAATTTACAAATTGCTGGTTCTGACATATAATAAGATAAAATAATAGCAAATTTAAATGAAAATATAAGATGTGATTCAGAAGAATTCTTTATTTAAAGTGGTGTAAAACATATTAAACGAGTTGCATCTGACACCCCAGTCAATGTTTGAACAAGCTCATACCTGGTGAAACATTGTAGCTCTGCTGTAAGCCGTGAGGATTAGATGGTGTGATACAGTCCATTGTTACTTCTTTACGGAGACAAGTGTCTAAGTCTATTGCACTAAAAAACGCCACTGACTAAAGAAAATGTATATATGATGAGAACAAGGAAACAGTCAAGTTATATGGTTACAATGCATAATAAAAAATAAATACGTTTTTATTGCAGTATTCTTTCTTCTATACCACAATGCTGTAAAAAAATTAATTAGTACCATATACAATTTCTCTACCTACCTGGGGCAAATCTTTTAAACCCAATCTGTAGGCAAACATAGAACGTGTCAGGAGGTTGGTCTCTTGTAGGGCTAAAGCTGCTCTGTAGCGGTCAGGACTACTAACCAAGTAGCGTACTTCATCATGGATACTCACACAGAACCGTCCTTTGATCTTGTAAGTAGAAAGCAGCCAACGCATGCACACTAGCATCAGATGGAGATAATCCACAGCAGAACTTTGGACCACCCAATTGACACGTGAAGTCAGAAACTGTTGGAAGAGGTAATCTTATTTGGGTCACAAACTTAGGTTTTCCTTTGAGGTTTATTTTGTGTGTTGTTTTAAGAAAAATGACAACATAAACAAAGGGATATAGTTTAAGATAAATTCAATAGCTACATTTTTTAGAAGGCCTATTGCATCAATGGCATCAATAGTTGACCAATTATTAATTAGCCAAAAATCTTATTTAACTTACATCATCTAGAACAAAACATGGCTCCAAGGCTTTGCTGATGCGACAACCTAACACAGGAGTCACTGGCTTTTCCGAGTTGGCTACAGTTTCCAGGGCATTGAACATATAACTTTCACTGGATTTTTTTGAATAATTTATAGTATTTAAAATATTTCAACTTTTTATGCATAAAAATATTTCTGTTTCTGAAATGAAAATGTGTATGAAAGAAATTTGTTAGTAGAAATGAAGTTTGTTCGAATTTGTGAAATGGAATTTTATTTTTAAAATGTTTTTGATGGGAAAGTGCAAGTAAGAAATGGGGAAAATGTAAACTTTTTAATAAAATTTATTTTTGCTGTTTTTTTACCCACTATTTCATTTTGAACAAACTTCAGTTTCCCAAAAATTTCCATCAAACAATTTTTCTTCCAATGAATTTCTGTACAAAATATGTGGCGATGATAACCATTCTTTAAGCAATAAAAAAAAGTAAATGTATACAAATTATTGATGAGATAAGCAATTGGAATTTTTAAAATTTTCTAATTATTTAGGAGAAATAAAAACCTATTTTTCCAGAATGGACAACTTATGATATGTCATATAAGGATGATGTGCCCTATTCAAAATAAATAAAATATATTTCACCTGCCACCAATCCACTAATTTTCTAATTATTTAGGAGAAATAAAAACCTATTTTTCCAGAATGGACAACTTATGATATGTCATATAAGGATGATGTGCCCTATTCAAAATAAATAAAATATATTTCACCTGCCACCAATCCACTGTTTCTGTGCACTGTAAAAAATAAAATCAGTCATGATTGAATTTTGTATAAAATCATTTTAAAACTAACATGAAAGTAATGGGTAAAAAAAATATTGACTTCTAGGGAAATGACACAAATTATATCAGATTAAACAGACATAAAAAAAAAGAAAAAAAAAGTAAAATGCAAGATGCTGAATTTCAGGCAGTGGTACTATAACTAATTCACCAAGAATACTTTCAGAATTGAAAGTTTTCTCAGATTTTTAAAAAAAGAAATCAACTCTGTGCAGTATTTTATTCATAACATAACCAGAGCTCTGGAATTATTTTTGAGTATGATAATTGACCAATGAATAAACAAAAATAATATCTCAACAGATTAACATATCTAACTTAATTCTTCATTTTTTAAGTTAATGATTTATATGGCGCATAAGAAAAAAATGATATCTTTGTAAGGGAATCTTTCAATTCAACAATGGAATATGAAGTTTAATTTTTGAAGACTAAAAAAACCCACAATAGTACACATTCATTGCAAGAAAACTAAACATGCTAGTTAAAACCCTCCAAATTTTGTGAAGTGAATAATGGGATGTTAATAATCGATTAAAAAATCTGTTTATTTTATTAATATTTATTTAACTATATACCGGTATTAATTGCTGTACTATTTAAACCTAGAAACTTTTAGATTTTAGATAATTTTGTTGTCTTATAATCAATAGTAGAAAATTTATATTAAAAAAGAAAAAACACTTTAAATCATAGGTTTAAAAAGAGGTCTTAACAAATCAACAGTGCTGTGCTCTATTTGGGAAAAAAGAATCTTAAGAATATATGATAACTGGATAATTTAAAAAATAATTTTAAGATCAGATAAGATAAGATTCTTTCATTGATCCAAACAAATGGAAATGTTTTTTGATTGCATTTTACATTTTCAGCACATAAATAAAACAATTTGAACGCAAGACATGTACATTAAATTATTTCACTAGTGAAAAAAACAGCCATTCAATGAACTCTCTTAGTTATATCAGGGACTTATTAGTTCTCATTTAGTTTTGTGACTTCTGGGGCAGCACGCTGGTAAATTTGTACAGATTGGGGAACAAAAGAATTTTTATATCTTTCAGTCCTCGTCCTGTGAGAAAGAATGCATCCCGAATGGGCCGATCCTAAGTATCTGTGAAAAAGAGGGTGGGATGTATCATTCAAAATTTGTTTACTTTTACTATAACATCTTCCTTCAAATAGTTCTTCAAGTGAAGGATGTTTAGTTTGTGTTATGTTCCTAGCTTTCTTGATTAGTCCGTTTATGCGGTGTTTAATACCAGACGTTGAATTCCCACACCAGCAGGTAATACTGAAATTAAGTAGGCTTCCAATTGTTGCACTGTAGAATAAGTTAACGACTTGTTTGTTTACGCCGAAATTATAGTTTTTTGAGGTAAAACAGTCTTTGTTTGAATTTCTTATACAGTATTTGGCCATGCTCATGCCATGTTAGCTTATTATTGATGGCGACACCTAAGTATTTATATGCCTCTACTTTCTCTACACTTTGATTTTTTATGTTGAGATCTGTAATCTGGTGTGTCCCCCTCCTGAAATCAACAACCATTTCCTTTGCTTTTGAGACATTCAACTGGAGAAAATTTTCATCGCAATTGTTAAAGCTTGTAACTAAGTTGCGGTATAGGCCTTCTCCTTCAGATATTAAGCCAACGATGGTGGTATCATCAGCAAATGTTATTAATGGAACAGTGTCGCTTGAGCTCTATCATTGGTATATATTGTATACAGCACAGGGGAGAGAATGCAGCCTTGTGGTGCCCCGGTGCTTATTTCTCTGGTCAGAGATAATTGGTTATATTACCTTGACATATTGTGGGCGATTTGTTAAAAAGTTCAGTATCCAAGCTTGAATGTTTAAATTTACACCAAACAAGGAAAGTTTCTTTATCATAAGGTGTGGTTGAATAGTGTTAAATGCGAATGAGAAGTCTAGGAAAAGCACTCTTAGCATATTTTTGATGGTTGTCTAGGTGATGGAATAGTCTCTCCAATAATAGTAAGATAACATCCTCCGTGCTTCTGGCAGGTTTATAAGCAAATTGGTGAAGGTCAAGTTTTTGCTGTACTTCATTCAAAATTTGTCTCAGAATAAGTTTCTCAAAACATTTCATTATGATAGTGGTAAGTGCAACAGGTCGTAAGTCGTTGTTGCAAGTTACCTTATTTTTCTTTGGAATGGGTATGATTTCTGAAGTTTTCCAAATTTTTGGTATTGTGTGAGTTACATAAGATTTATTAAATATGTAACGAAAGATGTATGAAAGCTGCACTGAGCATAGTTTAACGCGCTGACCACTTAATATTTAATTTTTAAAAATATTTAAAAGAACTAACTTTCTTTGTCCTTTAGTTTTCTTATACATGTCCTTAGCTAGTCGATTTGCTTCTTCAGGATTTAGCTGAGGATTGAACTGCATTAACAACCTTGCTGCAAAAGTCTGACCTGCACCATAAATTCGACCATAATTCATAACCTGAGAATTACAGAAAAAAATTGTTGGTTTATTTATCTTTATAATATTTATATTTATTTAACACTTATTAAAAAGACAGTTAAGCAACCAAAAATAATAACTAAAAAACAAATATGAGAAAGAAATTATGCATTTTCCCTTTTTTTTCTCCTCCATTTATTGAAAATCTTTTCTAATCCGAGTCAATGTGTTACTAAATTTAAGTACATCTTTTTTCTTTATCATTATTATAAAAATGGTTTAGTAAGGTGGGTAAATGTCTAAATATGGTATTGTAAGTAAAGAAAATTTGTAAGTGTGTATGGCTTAACCAGCCTGCCACACATGTTAGAAGTTCTATATCTTTTATCAATTGATATATAATCTAGTACCTTGGCATGGTCTCTGCTAATGTTGACTATCTCAGCAGTCTTGCTGTGCAAGTCTGTTTTATCTGCTTTACTTCCTTGTAAAGTCATCCACCCAAGGGCTGTACATCCTAGGATCAGGGATGGGCATATGTATTGGTAATAGTTCAAATTTTCATACTTTATATATTATGTTTGAAAATGGTTAACAACTTTTATATAAGTGAAACAGCAGATTTTTAAATGTTGAGCTCTTTCAATTTTTTCGTACGCATTGTCATAACTCCAGGACAATCTATTTTGAGGTAAATTTGAATTTGACATGTCACAATCTTGTATCATTAAATGCAAAATTAAAATATATTACATAAAAACCTAACTAAGAGAATGAGATAGCCCATTATTTCAGATAAAAGACCAGCAAGTATTTAATTTTAAATAACACCGTCAATCACAGCCATCTAAAAATACATCATGGGGGCTCATTCGCTATAGATGGCTTTACACTCTTAACTCCAGGCCCAGCAATCTGGATTAAATTGAAAGTGACAAATGTCCATATAAAACAACCAACCATGCTCCTTCATGAAAAAGGCATCTCCAAGTACAGCTGCTATCCAAAGCTCTTGTGAATCAACATCAGCACCAACAAAATGATAGCCAGGAGGAGGCTGCACCATACCTTTGAGCTCACTGCCAATACGATCTTTCTGTTTGTGAATACATTATGATTTATGATCAATACATAGTACTGCCTCACTACACAGCAATCAGATTTCAGATATGAAAAAATGTAGAGCAGTAAATGAAATACAATGAAATATTGGAACAAGATACGTTTAGGCTTGAAATGAAAAACAGGGCAATTAAAAGGACATTTTGGCTGGATGTCTTCTGACAAAATAAGAAACAACCAAGAATAAAAAATCAATAACTTATGCATTTGATGCCCTCAATGTTTTATAAATTAAATACGCTACTGTAAGTGAATGGTACATTAAATAATTGACACTTTCATAAAACCAAACCAAGACTTACATAGGCATTACTTGCTGTAAGCCATGTTGGCTCAACAGCCCGTCTGGTGATTGTCCCAGCCGTTACAATACGGGGGATGATGGCTCCATAGAGGTCATCAGGGTGATAATTTGGGTGGCTGCCACATGAGAGCAAAAAATATTTGCTTTTGTCAAAAAGAAATTAAAAATTTGTCAGTCCACTCTTTTCTCAAATAATACCTAAATCTAGTTAGATGTAAATGCAACTGAGCCCCCTGATCATACTTCACCTGGTAATGTCTTGACTAAGTTCATTGCTATTTAACCACACCGGCCACTGACTCCTGAAAAATACAATTTAAAAGATAATAAATTGGTCCATTACAGGGTGAGAATAATATTTAAGATCATCTTTAAATAATAATGACTTAAAATACTTGAAAATCCAGTAGAAATCGGCTACTGTTGGCATTTAATTAACTACAAAATTTTGTTTTTATTCATAAAACATTTTCCTTTCATTTTCTTTTCAATGGCTAATAACAGTTTTTAAAAAATGACTTTGTTACTTTTTAATTTAAAAAAATTAACCTTCTAAAAACTTTGAAAATGATTAAGTCAACCAGTAACTGCATCAGTGATCATAATTTTTGCTTTTAACAACATAAAAAAGTCATTTTGTATAAGTGCATAAACCTAGTTACATGATCCTCTTCTGGTTATTTTTCCAGTAGGAACACATCCGACTCAACATTAAGATCCTGTTGGCATTTGTTCCAATGCTGGCACTAATTGTTCCATCTTCAACCTTTGATAAGTAGTCACGGGCTAATGGATTACCTACTCTTTTTTGGTCTCCATCCTAAAGAATAAATTTAGATAAAAAAATGTTTAATTGAATTATGTTACGTAGTTCTTATTCACTTAGGAACATATTAAGGATAAATTAAATAAAATTATAAACCGACAATAAAAAAAAAAGTTAAGAGGGAAAACATTAAATTTATAAAATAAACATTAAATTTATAAAAATTAAATTTATAAAATTTAATAATTGGAAAAATACATTTAATTTTTTTATTTAATGAAATTTTGGTAAAATAAAATGTATGTTTTCAATTAATGGACAGGAGAAAAGGTTCAATTAAGATAATTCTACATGTGACCTTGTGTGGAATTTTGCAGAAACGAACACCTGAAATGCCAATGTCGAGTGGTCCATTGGTTGGTCTTTTAACCTTTTTCTGTTGAATGTAATTTTTAAACAATCAGAAATGTTTCATCCCTACAGCTACTACCTTTCTCAAAATGTTTGATCTCTACAGCTACTACCATACCCAAAAATGTTTCATCCCTAAAGCTACTTACTTAAAAAGGCAATTTTAAGAAAAACCAGAAGCTGAAATACTTGTGCGTCCATAAGCATGATATAATTTTATGAACAAGAGTTGTTTGTTAGACATTACAATGAGAAAATGTCTGGTTTACTCACAGTTTTTTTCCCAAGGGTTGATTCCCAGTGAGGTAAAGTCTCTTCAAGTTCCATGCCATCCTCTAAAAACTGACTGTCCAGAGAATCCATAGGATTTGTTGGCTCAATTGTACAGTCATTTAATGCGCTGGGTTTGTTCTCTTTTAGGAATGCCAGGTAGGCTCTTAAATTATATTAAAAAAAGTAAAATAATAATAATTTGTGTACCGGTACATTTTAAATGCTCATTCTATTTGTCCTGAAACAAAGTCTTTATAGTGAAATCTAAATATACAGCATATGTGAAAGTGATGACTGGGAGAGGAAAGCATTTTGATGTGTAGCAAACATGTAAATAGTCCAGAATTTATGTCTCAGCCAAGCTTTATTCCTCTTTCAGGAGATTGCAACTGATAATGTTATGTTACCCATTCCCTCCAGCCTTGCCTGTCTTACTCCCCTCCCCCCACCCAACACTAAATTATGAACAGGAGAGACATTTGAGAGCACTGGCTTCGACAAAAAGATAAGTACAGAGACCTGATGTTCTAGAAAAAAGCCCCTCTGCACTGGCCAGTCAAAACAACAACTTTAGTTAAGCCTGAGGTATTGGGATTTCTTGGCACAAACATGGTAATATGTCTATACACATTTTTATAGTTTGTTTGTTCCGAAAATTTCTGATTCACAGAAATATATAATAAATTAACTACATATATTTCAGAATTGGTAACTCCATGATTTGCTAAACTTTAAATGGTTCAGAGAGACTAAGCTATGTATCAAATTTAAAAAAAAAAAAAGAAAAAAAAGCCAAAAATGGGGAAAGACAGCAAACAGGAAAGGAAAAAGGAAGAAAGCAAAAAAAAAGAATGGGAAAAACAGAAAATAGGACACAAAAAAAAAACAAACGATAAAAAAAAAAAATATTTCAGAATTGGTAACTCCATGATTTGCTAAACTTTAAATGGTTCAGAGAGACTAAGCTATGTAACAAATTTAAAAAAAAAAAAAGAAAAAAAAGCCAATAATGGGGAAAGACTGCAATCAGGTTAGGTAAAAGGAAGTAAGCAAAAAAAAAGTATGGGAAAACCTGAAAATAGGACGCAACAAAACAACGAACGTGTCAGCAAAAAGCCTTCTTCAGCAAACAAACAAGAGTAATATCCAAGAGGACAGCAATAGGAATGCCTTCTAGGATTAGTAGATCTTGCATAAAATTTGGCTCAGATATGTCAAAAAGAATAAACTACCAAACAAAGGCAGTGATAAAAGGTTTTAATAAATAACTCTCCCCGATTTCAAAAGAAAATACTGTAAGAATTATTTTTTCCTAATCATTTCATTATAGACATTTAGAACATTTACCACAACTTTGCTTTTAACTTACTTTAATGGAAAACTATGTTCAGCTGGCGGTGCTGTGTCTTGAGATCTGAGCTCTTCTTCATCTGGAGTTAATTCTTCGGCATGTGGGACCAGGTAACCCCATCCATATTTTTCATCGTAATGAACAGGAAATCCTTTTATCACAGACAGGGAAATTACACTCTTTTACTACATATTTAAATTTAGTTTTGGCATTGTTTAGCATACAGGGAGGACTGCGGTGATAAGGTTGAAGCAATAAGAAATATACACAGGGTAGTGGAAAACCTGAAGAAGGACAATTAAAAAAAGTGGACATTTCTGCCATGAAGCCTACCACAGCAAAAATACGACAAACAAACTTTGCTTGTATAGATATGTAGTTGACAGAAAAAGGTAGAAACATTCAATTACAGGAGTGTCCTATGAAATCAAAGAATTTTTGCATGAGATTAAATGGAAACATAAAGATTAGAAATAAATTAATTAAATAAAGTAAAACAAGGGAAATTGAAGATGCCTAAAAAAACAGCAAGGACTGAATTGGTAAGGTTAACAAGGATGGTGGATAAGAGGAAAATGTGGAAAGAAAACGGAAGGTAAATGGGCTCTTAGCTTGACAGTCAGTAGAGAAAGATTGGAAAAAACTTCAAACCTTCATGAATGGTTAACTGCATAGAAACCTTAGGATCAGATGGTTCCACAAAATCACAAGTACAGCATATATATATTAAAGTGACCACAATGGCTTGACAGATGTGTTCATTACAGCAATTGTTAGCTCTACCACCAAGGGTGAGTTTGGTAAGCAAACTGATACACACTTATGGGACCCTGACCCCACTTGCCATGAATTTTATGTTGTTACTTGATAACTCTCTCCATCCCCTTACATTATTGACTCACTACTGTGAAGTTCCTTTCTCTTCTTCCTTATGACCTATATATTTGATAATTTTTTATATCATCTTTCTTCAGGTTTTCCTCAACCTGTGTATACTTCTTTATTTTGAGTGGTCTTCTTAGGTAAATTATCTGTTTGTAAATGTGTTTTCTCACCTTCCCAAGTCAGCCTCATCAATTTAGCAGCAGCTCTACATTGGGTGCTAATGCGTGACGGTCCAGGATAAAAATCTTCATCTGTTGGTCTAGGACAAAGATCTTTGTACCAGCTAAATAAAAAAACAACAACACTTATATTGATTTGTAATGCTTTGAAAGGTCTAGTAAATCAGAAAAGTCCAATTCAAATTTCTCCTTACATACACTTGACCCTAAACACAGCATATCAGTAATCTATTATGGGGCCATTCATTAATGACATCACACTTTTTGGCCCAATTATTTTACCCCTTACCCCACCACCAAAGTTTTTCTTAAAATTTAGACACCTTCATACCACATTGTCACAATTTTTTGACACCCTTAGATGATTAAAATCTAGTTTTTTAATGTATTCAACACATGTGAAAATGCTCAGATAGCCTTTATATATAATTTGTTTATCATTATCAATAATCTTTTATTTGATTAAAAGACAAATGTTTATTAAATTAATCACTTTCTAGTTTTTAAACTGCTACACAAAATACTTTAAAATAACAAGCCCTAATGGTAAGTTGTCCTTATGCTTGTCATATCTTTACTCTAAAACATTTTCTGAGGTTAAATACAGGGACTTTTTGTATGCAGATAAATATGACCTTAACACTGAATAAGAGGCCAATATGCCACAGTGTTGCAAACTTCTCGAATGCCCGCAAAAACTTTGGTCTCACCATCAACATAAAGAAGACTGAGGTCCTGTACTAACCAGCTCCACAAAAACCTTACATCCAGCCCAACATCCAAGTCAATGGCGAAAGGATTAAAGTTGTTAACAGTTTCTCTTACCTCAGCAGCACACTGTCCCAAAGTGTAACCTTTGATGATGAGGTAAATCTTCGAATTTCAAGAGCCAGCACAACATTGGGAAAAATGTCTAAGAATGTATGGAAAAGGAGAGGCATCAGCACCCAAACCAAAATAAAGGTTTACAAGGCAGCTGTGCTTCTAAAGCTATGTGAAACATGGACAGTCTATCAACGCCTTGCAAGGAAACTAACCCAGTTTCACACAATGAGCAGAAAAATCCTCAACATCTCGCAGGACAATATCCCAGACACTGAGGTACTTGCACAAACAGGTCTCCCCAACATACACATCTTATTAATGCAGTCCCAGCCTTGCTAGGCGGGCCATGTTGCAAGAACGTCAGATGACCGCTTGCCCAAAAGAATATTTTATGGTGAACTCAATCAAGAAGGGCAAGGTTGGGGGACAGGAGAAACACTTTAAAAGACACACTGAAACAATCTTTGAAAGGATTTCACAATGAGCCGGATGTGTGGAAACAGTCCACAAAGAATCAAGACTTGTGGCAATCTTCCATACACAAGGGCTCAGTCAATGCAACATGAGGCTGACAGAGCAGAACACAAAAGACTCTGTACCTGGAGTTGTCCCATCCATCCTCTGCACATTCTGCACCAGAACATTTTGTGCCACAATTGGCATGATCAGCCATCTGTGCACCCTCAGACAGATTCAGCCTCAGCAACAAGCCGGTGTTTAAAATGGTCATGATTGACTTTCAACGGACTAACTATCATGAAACTATAAACAATATTAATCTAATTACATTATTTTTAAAAAGTCATTATTTTTTTTTTTTAAACTTTAAAAAATTATATTGTTAACGCAACTACAGGTGCTCTCTCTTTTTAAAGACATTAATAACATAAGTGCCTCTACAAGTGCTCTCTCTGTAAAGACATTAATAGCGCTAGTGCATCTGCAAGTGCTCTCAAATATTTGATTTCATGGTACTCACGATGGGTATCCTGCCATAAAAACTGGGTTCTTAGGCACTCTGGCAACAGCAGCATAAGTTTTTTTCACAACCTCCTGGTATTCTTGAAATGCTTCTTTGCCTCCCTGTTATAATATTAAGACATTAAGCGATATTTGTATTGAATTCATTAATTACAGTGAAGTTATTTTCACTTGAACAAAAATGATATATTTTCAAATTCTTGTTAATGTTTATGGTATAACTGTTTTATTTCACAATGTTGCGAAGCAAGGCCTTTCCATTCATGAATTAACATGTACTGCATATTATTGTGTATTATGTGATCTATGCATACTGTGAACTATAAATTTTGTTTGAAAACTAACCCTAAAATGCCCTGTCCACGTATAAAGGGATCTGTTAATCTTGTTCCATAATATTTTTTTAAATGAACTGTGGTTAAACTGATATAACTGTGCTAATATCTCGCCAACGGGGCGCATCTCCTACATTACTCGTTTTATGGCCAAATATGATGCACAATCGTATCATGAAACAGATTTGGTTCAAAAGGCATACCGGTACTGGTAATATTGTTTGTATGTACACAATAAATGATAAATTGTTTAAACGTGCGTGCGCAGACTACACCATAACACATATATAAACTGACCTACAGTGTGCAAGTCTAATAAGATGTTATATGTTTTTAAAATCAGCACATAATGCCAATGCCTAACTTTAATTGTTATTTATACACCATAATATATGGAAACATGGCATAAAAAATTATCACAACTCACCTCCTGAAACAACATGGGCTCTGGGTATGGATTATTTTTAGTCTCAGACTTAGCAAACGGATCAATTATAGTCCTATTATTTGTTGCAGATTTGTTGAGACGAAACTTTGATAGCTTCCATTCCAGATCCCAAAGCCACGGGTCATTTTTGTACCTTGGGATACAGATTTAACAGAACAACACTTAAAATAGTCTGTGGCGTATTGGAAAGGGATATTAAAAAAAAATGTTTCATAACTTTAAAATAAAGTAAATCATTATTAAACTTGTAGACTTACATCCAAGAGACACTAGTTGGTTCATCAAGTTTCCTTTAGTCGAAACACAAACTTTAAGCAGATCCCAATACAGTCAATGAATTTAAATATAAGTGTGACGGTAAAAATAGATATAATAGAATGTATGGTCAAACTAACTCTTGATTATGAAGAAGACCGCAAGCTTCATCTGCTAAGCCCATGAGTAATTTTTTCAACTCCTTCTCCATCTCCATGTAAGTATTGTTAGCATTTTGAATGTATCTCGGCCAGGCGTCATTTACAGGTAAGAAAGCTGAGCCCATCTCAAGCATTCCAGCCAATGTCACAGGGTGAGGAAACCTGAAATATTTATTTTCAATCATCATACTTGCAGATAAGGGTACATTTGTTTAATTTAATAAAAACTTGATTGAATTTAGCTTTGGACTTATTCTAATTATAAGTGATATGTTTGAAATTAAATGCATTTAATGATGTGAATCTTAGTTTCACCTTAAACCAAGTTGATTAGATTTATGTCCTGGTTTTAATGATGTGAATCTTAGTTTCACCTTAAACCAAGTTGATTAGATTTATGTCCTGGTTTTAATGATGTGAATCTTAGTTTCACCTTAAACCAAGTTGATTAGATTTATGTCCTGGTTTTAATGATGTGAATCTTAGTTTCACCTTAAACCAAGTTGATTAGATTTATGTCCTGGTTTTAATGATGTGAATCTTAGTTTCACCTTAAACCAAGTTGATTAGATTTATGTCCTGGTTTTAATGATGTGAATCTTAGTTTCACCTTAAACCAAGTTGATTAGATTTATGTCCTGGTTTTAATGATGTGAATCTTAGTTTCACCTTAAACCAAGTTGTTTAGATTTATGTCCTGGTTTTAATGATGTGAATCTTAGTTTCACCTTAAACCAAGTTGATTAGATTTATGTTTCTTGTTTTAAAATCTAATCACAAGTTTTTCCTAGAATATCTCACGCATGATTTTATTTTTCGTATAATTGCTTCATCGTAAAGTTTACCTTTCTTGAAATTCAGGCCAAAGTTTGGCAAAAATCTGATATGTTGCTTTAACATCGTCAGCGCAGTAAGCCATCAATTGCTGTGAGCAACAAAAGTTAATTTTAGAATATTTTAATAATAGTTGAAATTGTTTCTCAACCCTTTCTCTAATAAAGTTTTTTTCTCTGAAACACTATATCAAGCCATATTTATTATTGTAGTTTCTGGAATACAAGAAGCAAACAAGTTTAAAATAATCTCAAACAGAGATTTACAAGCATTTTTAAGTTTTTCATTTTGCATGCAAGTTGAACTGAATTACAAGTCAAATAATTAGGCCCCTTTTTTTTCCCTTTTGGTTGTGTATGGTATGTTAAAGGTATAAAATGGCTTATTGATTAAAATTTTAAAATATTTCATTACCATGAGTGTATAAGGAAAAAAAAACAACATAAGTTAATTTTCCAATATCCTCTAAGTGAGACTTAATTCAGGCAAGAATTTGAATATGTGCCCAACATTTTCAAGAGTCTATGTGTAGCACACAGTCCATACCACATGACAACGCTATAGAAAAGATTTTTCCCCAATACAGTGCAAGCAGTTGCATACAACTGAATTGTTTCAATCCTTGTTCATTAACTAAAAAGCTGGAGCGACCATGTTACACAATCTCCAAAACCAATTAAATATAAGCACAGAGGCACAACTCACTTGAAACTGTTCTCTGACATCAGACATATTCCCATTCACAAAAACATCCCTCTTTTCTTTCTCCAGTAGCTCTCCACCACAGTGGAGCTGGTGGACATCACGCAGATTATTCATGCTGCTCACTTTTTTCCATTCTTGGCTCTGAGAATCAGATGATTACCAAACAATAATGACATAGATGACACAAGACATAAATTCTCTTTATTGTTCAATTCAAATTTCCTTTTAAAATAATAAATATATGAGAAAGTCTGCAGTACAGAGCAGATATCTAAAAGTAAGGGAAAAGTAAATGTGTCACATATATCAGGTGATTTCATATTATAGAAATATATATAGTAATACTAATCCAGATCCTGGAATTAAAAGTTTCAAGTAACATATTAACAAAAATTTAAATCTATATGATTAGGTAACAAAAATATGCGAAATCATATTAAAGTGCCAAAAATACATAAACATGCATGCACAAAATTTAATTTAGACTTGCTGAGAAATTTAAATATTAAATACGGTATATAACTCGCTGTTGCAGTATTAAACACATTATATAACTCACTGTGGCAGTATTAAATAATTTCTGTCTAGTTTTATGTTCAAAAATTTCCTTTCTTCCACTTCCATTACTTCCAGCTTTATGCAAGAGTCTCTGGAAACTGGTTTGGCCACAGACAGCAATATGCATTGACATAGTGTCCAAAAATCGCAGCTCCGTGCCCTTTAAATAAAAATCAATTCAAAGACAAGTCGAACAAAATAACAATCATAGTTCAGATTTTATTAACTGATGCTTGTTTATTTATTGAATTAACTGATCTCAACTTTACACTAAAACAGCGTTACCGCAACTGAATGAACTAATCTTTTCAAGAAAACTAACGCCTGCTGCAATAACATGAGCACATGGGCTTAAAACTATGGTTTTACCAATATTTTATTCCCTTGCCTTAATTAAATGATGCTACCTCAATTAGATACTGCTCCTTCACAAATGATCTGTCAAACCCCACATTATGTCCTATGATGAGGCGAGGCAGCCATTTCCCTGTAGGTGGAGCAATTGAATCAGGGAGAGTCTCCAGGGGTATCAAATCTTTAATTTTTGGTTCACTAATCCACCGAAATTTATCTTGGATAACAAACTCACTGACCCATGAATACCTAATGAAAGATCAAATAAAATATTTGGTTAGCAGAGTACATATCCTGCATGGCATATGTTGTTGCATGGCAGATTCAAATTTTCTACTTTATTCATCATCTTAAGTCAACACTTTTGGAAATATCTTGTCCCCCCAACCCCCTCAAATTTTTATATTGAGATTTTAAATTAAATAGTGCTGCTTTGAAATTTTTTGAACAATTTTTCATGGCCTCAATTATTTTATTTAAAAAATTTTCATCAGGACAATAAAATATAAATTATATGTTTTTTTTTATTCTTATAAAAATATATTTGAACCTCCTTTAAAAGTGAGAAAGGAAAAATCATCACTATTTCAGTGCTTACCAATGTGTAGGAGAGACAGCTGTTGCCATGGTAGGATAATTCCCTTCTGACATTAAACATTCAATGTCAAAGACGAGACCTCTGTCTTCAGGGAATGTTACACTTTCAAATGAACCATCAGCATTATATTTAGTCCAACCTTTCTTAAATTGCCATTTCGTGGGAATGGTTGGTAATTGCCCATATGCTAATTCTTCAATTAGTGATTTGTACACAGCTAATTGATCATTAGCAATTTGTACAAAATGCTCATTTATGTCTTTACCAAAAAGAGGAGGAAGTTTAAGATCAACTTCAGGCAGTTGGGATGATGAAGTTGTCTTTCCAGCAAGTCCATGCTTTTTAAGATGAGCTTCAACTTTTTTTATTTCATTTGAACTAGTTGGTTGAGGGGGAGTTTTAAAGATATGCTCATGAAGTTTCTGAGACAGCATTTGAATATTAAGGGAATTATGTCTCGGTACAGATGATGATGATCTATTGGATCCATGTAATATTTTGTAATACCTCAAACGCTGGTACCACAAAATTTTCAGATTGCCTTTAGGTAAATACATGGTGTTTAGTTCCACAAAAGCTTAAAGAGTCCATGGAAACATTCTGAGTTATACTTGAAAGCGCACATTGATATCTTTTGTGCTAGTTAATGTTCAGTAGAATAGGCCAACTCATATTCAAAACATTGAGTAGATTTCACATATGTTCTGCAGGTAAAATTTCATTTTCTTAGACTTAGAGTCTCTCTTTACACTTTTTAAAAAATATTTTATTTTGGCTCGTTTATGCTAGGTCAGAATTTATGTAGGGCTAGCCAGTTATACATATTATACTATCATAACCATTTCTATGGCTCATATCACCTATGAACCTAAAGCTGTAAAAAATAGAAAGAATCAATTTTAAATATGTATGTTAGTGTTAGACTTCCACAATAGACAGTTCAGTTTAAATTTTATCTAAAACTGGACCTAATAGTAATATTGATTAATAATATAATATATTATATATTATATCACATATTTCTCGTGAGTTGATAATGATCTTACAATGAGTGCCTCCTCAGGTACGGATAGGTGAAAGCCCACCTGATATGGTAGGTACTGGGTATATAAAATACCCGGGTGGACCAAAATCAGAACCTATTGCCATGTAGGACATGGCAGGATCCACAAAGGCTAGGGAGCCTTACCCAAAATTAAGGCAGTTACATAGAGAGCTGTAAGGGGCAGCCCCCCAGATGGTTATGCGCAGAGCTAACAATCAGGCCATGTAAAAAAATAAACATTACGAAAGCAAAACAACATAATTAAATCCGGACTGATTCTCATGGAAATTGACCTATGCCTGAATATGGCATGATTTTGGATTGCGACTTGGAACGTACTAAGCCTGTTTGGTGTAGTAGCTTTAGCCAACCTAATGGATCAATTAAAATATAAAATCTCTATTGCTGCATTGCAAGAAATTCGATGGGATGATGCAGACATCCTCGAGACACAAGACTACACCATATTTTATAGTGGCAACAACATTAAAGCTCTTGGAACAGGATCTGATGTACAGAAAGAAGCCATCTGCGCAGTCATAGGTTTTAAACCAGAGAATGAAAGATTGTGCTCTTTGTGTGTGGGAGGAATAGTGTCTAATATAACATTTATAAATGTTCATGCTCCCACCGAAGATACAGAAGATCAGATAAAAGAATCCTTTTATGAGTTCCTGGAAAAGATCTTTGATGAGGCTCCACAACATGAAGCGCTCATTGGGGAAAGCATATGATATAAATAAGTCATAAGTGAAATAGTGATTGCCGACTTTAATGTAAAAATAGGTAAAAAAAAGTTTTAATGCCAACTATTGGCAAAATCTATATGAAGAATCCAATGACAATGGTATCATAGACTTTGCTTCAGGAAAAAGGATGACAGCAGCACCAAGTTTCCACACAAAAATATACATAAAGTTAATTGGAAATCACCAATGGAATAACTCACAACCAAATTGACCATGTTCAAATTGATTGGTGGCCTGGGTCAGACATACTAGACATAAAAAGCTATTGAGAAGCAAATGCAGACACTGACAACTACTTTTAAGGGTTAAATATAAGCAGAGATTAAGCATAATATACAAAAGTTTAAATCAAAGAGAAAAACAATATGACACAAGAAATGCTCCAAACTTTAATGCACAAACTACAGAGGAATTTCCCAATTAAATGTAACATACCAAATACTGAAAAAACTAATTTCTAAAAGACTACAACTTTTCCCTGAACAAATAATAGGTGACTACCAATGTTCCTTCTAAGGTTTGTTGGTAAGTGTGCAAAATCATACAGTTGTGTGCAAAGTTTTACAGCATCAATTTTTTTGTGTGCAAAATTTTACAGCCCACAAACATAAACTTACATGGAAATTTGGTGCGCGGATACTCAAAACTGCTGCGCGTCGTCTGTGCAGCTTAAAGGAAACATTGGTCACTACCAATGTGGAATAGGATAAAACAGATCAACTACTGATCAGATGCCTATTACAGAAATGTTACGAATCCCAGTACATCAAATCTATGAGGAATATAAAATGGCCTATGACAGCATCAAAAGAAAATATTTTGGCACACCCAAAAAACTGACAATACTGATACATGTAACATTAAACAGCGCAAAAAGCAAAATCTAGGTTCATGGAGAATATTCAAGGGAATTTTCAGATTGGACGAGGGCTAAGACAAAGGAGACTCACTGTCTTGTGTGTTATTTAACCCAACATTAGAGAGAGTTATAAGAACCTTACATACTGACACCCGAGGAACAATAACAGGATACTTTCTGAGGGAAATCCCAAGACCCACAACCAATAGGCACTCTACAACCAACAATTCAGTGTTTGGCATATGCATGATAGCACTGTTAGGGAAAAGTAGTAAAGACATATCAAAAGCTTTTTATTGAATTAGAAGATGCATCACTACGAGCAGAGCGGGAAATCAACAACCAAAAAAACAAAATTCATCACTATGTTAAGAGGAGAACAGGCTGATGAAACCATTAAAATTAAAAACCACACGTTTGAAAAAGTAAATCAATTCAAATACCTAGGATCACTAATAAATGAAAGTAATGAATTACTGACAGACATAAAGAAGAATATCGACCAGGAATAGAGCATACCTCATTAGTCACAAAATACTCAAAAGTAAGAAAATTACAAAAAAACTATAAATAAAACTGTAATCAGAACAGTTGTAACATACACAAGTGAAACTTGGATCCTAACAAAAATGGCAGATAACCTATTAAACACATGGGAGAGAATAGTTCGCCGGAACAAAGGATGAATATGAATGGAGAATACAAACCAACCAGGAATTGTATAGACTATATCAGGATCACAGGCTAGTAGTAACTAGTAGCAGAAATGAAAAAGGGCAGGCTATGCTGGGCTGGACACTTATAAGATTATAAGGAATACCAAATGACAAAGGAGTGAAGAGGGTGCACCACAAATACTCCAGAGGAAAACGACTCAAAGGCTTAGACTGCCTTAGATGGATGAATGATATGGAAAAAGATCTACAGCAGCTAGGAATCCAAGCATGCAAAAGAAAAGCATCAGTTAAAACAGTTAGGTCTGAGTGGAAGGAAGTGGTGAGGGAGGTCAAAGCCCTACATGGGCTGTAGCGAGACAGGGATGGATGTATCACAAATGGTTTGGCTCATTATTATTATAATTTTAATTTTAAGTGTTGAAACTTGGACCTATGGGAGTAGATATCACTTGTGGCATACCTACAGAGGGCGAAGGGATATTAATGCCCAGGGTGGAACTTATACTTATGGTAATATAAATTACCCCAATTTTTCATTATGTAGACTAGACTTATAATTATAATAAAACGCAATATTAACGCATGTAATGCGTGTTCATTTCAACTAAAAATATTAAAATTAATAATATTAATTGGTTGGCCAATAATAATTAATATGACTACTATTATGATATGACCGGTTAATATAGTTAGACAATCACAACTACAATCATGATATGTGACTGATGTTAGTGAATTCATTTTCAGTCGTCAGATTAGTAGCCTAAAGCGGCACTGAACTAAAGCCTAAGACTAAGTCAACAAGTGATATTTTCAGCGTCTTCTTTTTTTTTTTTTTTTTTTTTTTTTTTTTTTTTTTTTTTTTTTTTATTTATCTTACTTCACAAATCACAACCAGGGTCAACCACACTGTGACCACAATCATGTCCTGTCTTATCATTTGACATCGTGATTTTGATGTGTAATATGTCTTTTGTAAATGCGTTTTAATCAATAATTAGGTCTAGTAAAAAGTTTTATATCCATTTACGTTAAATGCCGGTTTTAATTTTAGACAAATTGAATCTGGGAACATGGTTATGAGAATGAGAGCTCTTCTCGACTAAAATTTTAAACAATAAATTATAGTGCTCTCCCTTGAGTCAAACAAAACTAAATCTTAAAACATCGCGACGTCCTTAGTAAAGTTCGTTTCTAGTAAAGAATATTTTTGTTGTTGTAGAAAATCAGTGCTGCGAAATGATTAAGACACTTCACGTGGTAGCCCTAATTCTATCAGTTAGCAGTGTCATTCTTATTCTTCATTCAGACAAAAATAGACAAAAAATTTATTAAAGTAAGGAGAAAATAAAGAGAAAGTAACGGCAATCCTCCGAAGTCCGGTCCCAAATTATTTCGTATGAAAAAAATTGCAGTGCACAGTGTCAGTGTCTATTGTTAGAAAACAGCAGAAATGTCAGTCATAGCGTTTGCAAATAACTGTCACTTTACAAACCAGTCAGTAAATACTAAATGTTGTCATTGGCGCATAGCATTTGCAAATAGCAGCCGAAACGTTCTGCTTGTGACTGTTGCGCCACTGAAGGCTCCAAGTAGCTGGCAAACAGACCCTGACTAGTACCACTCTGATAGCGGAGTTTACGTTTCGCTTGCATCCAAAGTCCTTCAATAATTTATGTGTGAATGTCCTGGTCTACTGGATCAACAAATTCACGCGCCTGCACAATGACAGCGTGAGCATAAATCCCGTTGTTGAGCTGACCGACATTTTGATATCTTCGCCAAGCGTCCGTGACGATAGTTGTCCCTGGTAACACATGATAATTAGTAGTGATAATGCGCTCGAGTGTTTGTGCATCTCGACGGCCGACAGCCTCCATCCAACATCGTCCACTAACGCAAACATGAATTTCAAAACAGAATGATGCCCAAGACTTAAAGTAAGGAGTAATCACTGAAAATAATTTGGGACCGGACTTCGGAGGATTGCCGAAAGTAACTAAGCCTAAGCTGATGTCCTGTCCGTTCGTTCACCATACAAATACGCTACAGTAAATTAAAACTATATTAAAACACTACTAAAATTCTTTTGCCCCCCCCCCCCCTGGAAAGTTTTCTGCGGGCGCCCATGCTCATGATGAATACTGTCAATTTCACTACAATAATGCGATTCTAATGCTCCGTGGTGTCCTGTAACTTGATCAGAGGCTATTTTTCCGACCTCGCATACCTAAACTGATTCTCTATTGATCGTGTTAAAACATAAATTGACATTCATAAAATAATTATTTTAAATTATTATTGTTTTGTATTGTATAGTATAGTAAAATAGGATAAAAAATAAAGTTAAAAAAGTCTGTAATTTAATGTTATTAAACATATTAAGTGCAATTTTTTCAATAATTAATTAAATGTTCTGACAACTTGTAATTGTAATGTGACTTCAGGACATCACATTGCGATTGTCACAAAAAATGTGACCCCCCTCGGCCAAAAAAAATAATTCACTTTTGGTCGGTCTCTGCTATGAAGTCCCAATTTAAATATTTTTTTTATTTACTAATTTTAATGACACACAAACAATTTGTCTAAATAAAAAAATGTAGGTTACAGTAAAGCTTTAATAATGAGAACACAGAATACAAATGCAAACATTTTGTCATAATAAGCCATTTTTCAGCTATATTGGTTAGTATCCGTGCCTTAGTTTCATACATCAAAACATCACTTCTGGTCTTATAGTTAGTGATATGGTTTTCTTTGTTTTCATTGAGAGATTTCTTGTAACTTTTGTACCTGAAATATCAGCAAGTGTCTGCTATAATCATTTACTTCACATCCTTTTTCATTGAGCTCATTTATGGTGGCTTCTAGTTATTTGAATGTATCCAATCTCTCAAAAGTTTTGTTTTTTATTTTAATATTATCATTTGTATTTTTGTTACTTGGTCTTTGCTTTATTCACCTTTAATCAGCCTTAACAGAGTACTCTTCAAGTTCATTAAACATTTTTACAATGTCGTCAGGGCTAGCTCAAGACGGATACAATGCGTGATCATCACACAATAAACCACAGAAAGTGCAAAATTTGTTAAAATCATAATTTTCCAGAGGGCGACAATGGCCAATTTTCACCCAACCTAAAAATGTCTAGTGCCTGCCCTGAATGTTGTTCCTACTTCTTCCAAGTAGAATAATTTGGTCTTCATATGCCAGGCACAACATTGTTTGGCTGTATAATGCTCTTAATAAAGGTTGTGGTTATGTAACTGGAAAAGTTTTTTCTGGAAAATGTGTTATTCTTCCATTGGTGTTCACATGTATGTTTGGCATAACTATTCTAATGTGTTTATTTGTATTTGTCAAAGAGAAATCTATTATTACAGATATGATCTGTAGTCATTTCTCAAGGAGACATCTAATACTACAGAAATTATCTGTAGTCATATCCCAGGGAGACATCTAGTACTAACATGTATGATCTGTAATCATATCTCAAGGAGACATCTAATACTACATGTATGATCTGTAATCATCTGTCATCTAATATTCATATTACAGATATGATCTATAGTTATTTCTCAAAGAGACATTTAATATTAGAGATATGATCTGTAGTCAATCTATTACCGATACATATCACATGTTTTGCAAATATTTTTTTCCAAATGACAATATGCATTGAAATTTAATCTGTTTTAATTGTTAGATAACAATACCTAACAAAGGACTTAAAAAAAAACTACCAAAGTAAGTGATACTAACAATATTTAATGTAATGATAATGATACTAATTTTTTATAAAAAAAATACAAAATCAAATATAGAGAAATAAAAACTTTATTAACTTACATCACAGCAAGTGATAAAGTAAAATCCTTGAAAAATACAAATATTAATTTACACACACATTCAAAGAATAAATCTTGTAAGGCTCCTATTCATTTCGTAATATGTCTTGTGTCTAGAAAATCTAGCAAATATCTCTGTCGGCTGGGAAAGTTGTTAGTTTATTTATAGGAAGGGAGTTGCAAATTCTAGAAATTGCATCATCAGAGCACATATTCTACCTACCATTTAAAATATATTTGAACATAAACAACCTTTTCCCACTCAAGGGAGGGTCGGGTAGTGGTAGAGCACTACACATTTAATCAGTGATATCAATATCAATACAAAAGGGGAAGATAAGTGGTGGACGCTACAGCAAATTTAGGTCAGAACACAGGCTATAAAAATGTTGTTGGCGGTTTTTATTTTGTCTAGATCTATTTGGATTGTAATTTTTTTTCATATGCCTCAAATATTTTTAGGTCTTTGGTTAACTTTTGGGTACCATACTGTTTTAGTTTTTAGATTGTTTATTGTGCATGGTACATATTTTTTCTCAAAAGGGGAGAAAACAAGCTTATAATTTAAAACGCTCACAAGTTATCACTGGTTTATAATTTAACAGGCTTACATTAATTGTGAGAATAAACTACATTATTACAAAGAAAAATCATAGTTTTAAATCTAGAATTCTTGGAACTCTCTGGTTAGCTATTAAACTACACTTTTGCCCATTTATCTTGATCTGGGATGTAGCTATCTGTCCTTTATATGAAGTTCCTATTTAACGTATTTGAATTTTTATTTATTTGTGTTTTGAAGACCTGTTGTGCTTTCCATTTGGGCCGTTGTCAGTCATAAAGCCTAGTCTTGAGTTCTGTTTGTTCATTAAACATGATTTTGGTGCTTTGACCAAGGATGTCATGCCTCATTCTATTGCAGGTATCACCCTTCCTGTATAGCTTCTTTTTTTAAAAGTATGCCCCCCCCACCCCTTGAACCTGCTACCTTATTTCTTTGCTGTGGGGTATGACTATTTGTATTCTCCCATTAACTGACATTTAAGCTTATTTGTAAATAATTTGGTACTAAGTCTTCTATGTTGTTGTTTGAGAGTGTGAAATCTGATTGTTTTGAGCATTTTCTTTTGGGACCAATCTTCCACCATATGCAGGGCTTCTTGTTTGCACTTTACTACTATTTTTATATATTCTTTCAGCATCACAGAGATTCATGTCAGTGCTTTCCAGTAAGGCATCAACATTTGAATTCTTTTTCTTATTTTTACTATGAGAAACTATTACTAAATCTATTACTACAATTTTTTTTTTATTTACAGGCTTCTGTATTCAAGTTCAGAAAGTATTTCAACCACTTTCCCTTTTGCCTGCAAACTCTGCCAAATTGACAACTCAAACGAACACCAAATGTCTACATTCTTTAACTTTTTCTTCCCCAAAGAATGAATTAATAGGGTAATTGTTCTATTATTTTCCATACAATTGTGTTTCATTTAGAATGTTTAGGTTTTCATAATTCATTCTACAACATAACATTAACGGTCATTACTTATGTTAAAACTTTGCACTCTGATTAAAAGTGTGATCTTTATACAGGATGTATGATACACATACACCAGGCCACTACTTTTTTTGAACTACAGTGGAACCTCTCATAACGAGCACCTCTCATAACGAGTAATTCGCATAACGAGCAAAAAAAATGTGAAGAAGTTGCTCCCTTAACGAGCAACATTTCGCATAATGAGTTACACAGAAAGGTGAAGTCCCTTTTTTCCGACATTCATTTGTGTGCCGGGACTTGGGAAGGAGTTACCAAGAGGACCCTCACTTCTACTCTTCTACTTGGAAAAAACTTTGGCCAGAGAGTGTTGTTGAATGTGATTTTGAAACAGTACTTGTGGAGTCTACAGTTAACAAGATTGTGGCATTGGCCATTATCATGGGACTCGAGGTGGACAACAAAGATATTGAAGAGCTTGTGAAAGAGCACAGTCAAGAGTCGACCACCGAAGAGCTTATGGAGTTGCATCGTGTTTCACAGCAAGAAATTATGGAGGAGATTTCATTAATGGAGGAGCAGAGCAACAATCTTCTAGCGCAATAAGAGAAATGCTGAAAGCATGGGAAACTGTTGCATAAGTTGCATCGTACATTGAGAAGTATCATCCTAATAAAGAGGTGGCTATTCGTGCTACAAATTTATTCAATGATAATGCTGTGACACATTTTTGTCAAATTTTGAAGCGTCGGCAAAAACAAATGTCTTTAGACAGTTTTCTAGTTAAAAAGGATTAATTATTTGTCATAAATTCATACTTTTATTTACGTTTTTTGTTTCAAATCTAAGTTGTATTCCAAGTTGTTACATTCCTTAACAATTCATAAGTAATTTTATTTGAATAAATGTTAATAAAATTTTTTGAAAAATGAGTATTTTTTCAGCATGGAATGCATTATTGTATTTCACATTGATTTGTATGGGAAAAATTGTTTCGTTTAACGAGTGTTTCGCTTAACGAGTAAGATTCTGGAGTGAATTATGCTCGTTATGAGAGGTTCCACTGTATTTTAAGTTATATGTGTTTTTGTCAATCCTTTCAGTAATGTGCCTAGCGGAACATTTTTCCACTTGTAATGCATGCATTTTTGTTAACCTACCAATTCATATGACTTTCAAAAAATATAAATTATATATTTATTCTGATGCAGCACCAGAAATTACATAAATAATACCTCAGCAAAACAAATGTTTGAATCCATAACAAAGAGAAAATTAAAGAATTTGTTTGGAAATTGATGCAACTAAACATTGTTTAAATAAATTTGTTTAAAATCGAAATCAAATCTAACAACTAGTTTAACTAAATTTCCCCAGTCAGAGCATAGTACACTAATAATACAGTAATATTTATATTAGTAAATAAAATTTTGTGACAAATCTTTCAGGCTGATAAAATGAAATCCATGTACCTCAAATGAGATTTTATACACATTTACTTCTTTTACTTTATTTTAGCCCAAGTTATATTAGCAAGAGAGCTTTTCATACAACACCAGTTTGTCCCACTACTTATGAGCTCAAGCTGTGGAGAGAACATAGAGTCATCAATCGCTTCTATCGTCTTCACTGGGGTGCATGGATTCAGTGCTTTGGAGGAAGACACAAAAGACTTTATCTAAAATCTCCAGCGCTACAATTGAAGCTTAAGCAGCATGTTTTTGTCACTGCAAAACAATGCAAGTTATTAGACATTTTGGTCAAACCAAAGTGAAGGGAACCAAAATATTTTGCTGATTCTCCGTATGAACCATATCATACTAGAACTAACTGTAAAGCTTTCCCCAATCATAGGAAGTTTTATCCATGATTGATTGTTACTTTGACATATATAATTCCATCTTTTATCGTTATCTTTTTTTTTCAATTGCGTTGTCTCTTTAAGAATATTCAACATTGTTTAAATTTAAAGCAATCTGTGTTGATGATCATATGCCTTATCTGCACCTTGTACACCCCCACCCCAAATTTACATATTGGGATTTAGAATAAAGTTTTTGTTTGTGCACACCATTAAATGTAGGTTGAATTTTTTTTTAAATATAAAAAATTAAACCAGATAAGGCAACAAGGTTTTAAGATGTGTTCATGTATTCTGATAACATGTGCGATGGGAGTTTTGGAGTTTTTCATTTCCCCATGCATGAAAGTAGGTCCATTAAGCTCCACACATTTTCTCCATAACCTGAAAGTAAGTCAATTAAACTCCTCACATTTTCCCCCATGCCGGAAAATATGTTGATTAAACTTCACACATTTACAACATATCCTGAAAATAAGTAGATTAAACTCCTCACATATTCCCCCATGACTGAAAGTAGGTCGATTTAACTCCTCACATTTTCCACCATGCCTGAAAGTAGGTCGATAAACTCCTCACATTTTCCCCATGGGCCATGTTGAGTGCCTCACATGTACCAACCTTACTAAAAGAAAAGACCAACATCTCAACAAGCAATTTCTTCGTTTCCATTTATTATTCTTTTAAAAAAAATTAATTTCTTCAAAACCCATTCTTTTTCTTGTTAAATTCAATTTAATTCAGTTCATGTTTTATTTATAGTGAACTTGTTTTATATCAGGAACTCCTGGAACCCGGCATGAGAGTTACGTTTCTCCCCTTTTCCAGAGATAAGCAAACTCCCTGAAAATGATAAATATTATAAGTGCATTCATCAAGGACTAAAGAAAGACATTTTGATTGTTTTTTTTTTCATTGGCCCGAAATATCCTCACCAGTGCATCAAATCATTGTTCTTTGTGATAAGAAGCAATTTTAAACTGTTTCTTGCTTTTTGGAAAAAAAATACTGTCCAACAATATCAAGTATGTAAGCACTGGTCTTGATTGATCGGTCAGATTTTTCAGATAAAAAATTATATCTTTTTATATATATCACTGAGGATGGGCTTCAAAAGTTAACTGCGAGTTCAGTTTGAAAATAAACAATGGAACACATTTCAAGGTTTTACAAATAATCCATGGAAAATGGGAACATGTTACCAAAACTTTATTCCAGCTCCCGGGAGGTCTCGCAGGCCGCATTAAATGTTTCAGCGGGCCGCAGGCTGCCCATCCTAGATTTAAATTAGTTATTTAATCTTTACACAATCGACTAAATCGCTCGCACAAGAAACTGGATTTTTTATTTTTGATGATACGAAAATTCTTTGAATAACTTAGTCGCAGCAAGACTTTTTCGATCCCCTGCGCCCTTGTTAAATTCAGGGACTCCCGGGGCGCCTCACATAAAGACCCAACAAGCACACCTCACAACAGGTGGAAAAATATAATGTAAGGATTAGGTAAGATTTCTGCAAATAGTTATTTACAAGTGTTACTGCTTCACAGCTGGTTTGGGTATTTGACGCGTCCTTTCACATTGAAGTGACAATGGAAATCAAATCATGCCAAAAATATAATTGCGGCGCACCTTTGAGGAGCCCGTGGCTCAGTAGCCCGGCACAGCTAATGAATGATTTGTGAACCACAGTTCAGTAACATATTAAAAAGAGAAATGGTATGATTGTTACGCACTGCCGTCTATTGTGAGAAAGTAATCTCTTATTTTAAGTTGTTGGCTCGTTGTAAACAGTACCTAGCACAGGACGATACCATAGAGAAATACAATAGCAAGAATACGACACTCAAAACAGTACTAATTACAATTAATAAGATTTACTAAAGTATTAATTTAATTATTACAAAACAAAAGGAATATAATTACAAATCATCAACTTACAGAGTATGGTAGATCTTGTACCGGTACACAGTTAGTACAATGTGCCAATTAATAATGCACTATGACGAATGCGAATAAACACATACGAGTTCACAAAGAATAAAAAAACTTGTCTCATAAAGTTAAAAATATCTATCTCAATCTCTCTATCAATCTCCATGAATCTCTGTCCCTGTCAATGCCTTATATATGCAGCGTAAGGCAATCTCCATGAATCTCTGTCCCTGTCAATGCCTTATATATGCAGCGTAAGGCAATCTCCATGAATCTCTGTCCCTATCAATGCCTTATATATGCAGCGTAAGGCACTTTTCAGAAACGACTTAGACATTGTTTACGTTTCTCGTCAAATCAAGAACGTTCCACGGGATACTAGGAGACAGACTAACCATGTTTAATTGGTAGTCGGCAGTAAACACGGCAGATCAAAAGAAAATAGGCCACGCCCATCCGAACGCGGTGTCTGCTATATTGGCAGCACAGGGGAAAACGTGTAGTAACACGTCCTACATAACAAAGATAAAGTTAGCTCTGTACGAAAGTGTGTCTGTCGCTTAAAACTAAAATTAATGGTGCTGCATTAAAAAATATATAAATATCATTTTAATTTCCAGTGTCTATTTTTTTATAAAATAAATAGTTAAGTAACTAAACAGTTTCAATGTCGATTTTAGGAATTGTCACAAAAGCTAAAATAATCATGTCGAGACTAGAAACTTTCACAAAAACTTAATTTTTATTTAAATCAGTGTGGAAAATGAGTAGCTTGGATGCCCTAAAATGTTTTCCTGAATGACAAGTGGTACATGCCCAATCACAATACAACGATAGCGCATCAGTATGAGTCACTTGTTTGTTTAAAATTAACATTATGATTGTCACTTATTGCATGCTGAAACAAATAATTTTCTCTCATTGCAAGCTGAAACACATATTATTCTTTATCTTTTAATTTCCATTTTAAAAACATCAAGAAGAAATATAAAACATCAAAATTGAAAAAGTATTTTAAAACAAAAAATTATAATAGTTTACGCAAGTTTCAATTGAACACAATGTAAGAGAGCTGAACACTTATTTGAAGGTCAAGCATGTAGGTGAGTCTGAGCTTTAATAAATTGAACTTTACCTTAATCCAAAGCAAATCAGACGAGCAGTTGTGACCTTGTTGTACGTGTAGTTGGTGATGGCGGTCTAATCTCATTAGCAGGGAGATGGGAGGCACATAAAGACCAGGTGTGTCAAAATAACTTATTCTTGGATTAGAAAATACAGCAGAGTGGATTCTACATGGCAGTAAACTGTGTTGTTCACCACACATGTCACAAAAAATATTACGTGATGTTTTCAGTCTAAGGAAGCGATTACTGAGATTGAAACAATGTTCGTTCAGGATTGTGTCCGTCGATGTGCACGTGGGTTCAACGCTTTCTTGGAACGTGACGTCACAGTCTCTCGGCTTGAATTTTGATTTTGGCGGCATAAATTTAACTTGACATCCATTTTGGATCCGTTTAGAAGCTGCTTTGAAGAACTCCAACTCGGTTGTAACTTTTTTGTGAACAGAAATAATTTGATTGATACTGCTCTCCTCCTCAACTATTTGATATCCATTACAAATGGCGCAGAATTTGTTTTTGTAAACTATTCCGTAATGTAGGTCAAGATACGGTGTGACGTCATACAAGGTTTTTGTGTCGGGATCTCTGCACTGTTGAATGGTGACGTCACGAGCTGCTTTGTTTGCGTCACTCATGTCTGAGTTCATGGCATCTTCTGTCAGAGAAGAACTAGCGAAGTTGGGATGACAGTCAGAGATCGTGTAGTAACTGTTCAGTAAATGATCGGAAGTCAGCCTCTGGCATTGAAATCTATCTGAATGTGGCAAAAGGTCTAAGGCGATAGGAACTGCTGCTGTCAAGATACCATCGGTCATTGTGGGACAACAAGTGTCGTAGATATGACATGATCTATCACAGTCACAGGGAAAACATTGCTCACATATTTTATCATCATGTAGCCATTGTAATGTATCATCTCTACAAACTCTCTCACAAAAGTTCACGTGAAACTCTAACCATGTGTCCTTAGACAAATTCCAGAATAACTCTCGTGTTTGAGAGTAGCTTTATTTTATTTTTTGCATATTTGCTTTGTAGACATACCGGGGTTATTGAAACCCTATAGTCAGTTCCATAATTATAGCGTCAATGAAGTCGATTCAGGAACTTAAAAATGAAGCTACCGAGATGGGGCTAACAGGGAAAGATATAGGGAATTACGTGAGAGAGGAAAAGGCAAAACAATAAGATAGAGCAGAAAGATTACGACAGGAAGAAATGGCAGAAAAAATTCGTCAGGAAGAAAGGCAAGAAAAAATACCAAAGGAAGAAAGAAACTTTGAAATAAGGAAATTAGAATTACAACTAAAAGACGAAGAGAGAGAAAGCGACAGTACAAAATCGCTTTGAGCCAGGTGGGTATTAATCATGACCCAAGTTCAGATGTAATACCACTAACAGGATATGTAGGTCAAGTTAGCCAACCGTATTTACCGACATGTGCGGTCAGCTGTGACGCGTCTGGACAGAGTACGCAAACACAGTCTGTAACCCCGCCAGGTAATAGTGTAGCAACAGATACTAACAGTTTCACTCAGGATCAGTTAGCTGACCCAGAATTAACAGCATTTACTATTTCTCCAGGGCAAGATCAACTTAAATACATGCCCTTTGGTCTTGCTAGAACTCCTCTCACATTTAATAAAATAGTTAGGAAATTGTTTAAGGGTCTGCATCAAGTAATCACTTACTTTGATGATATTTGTGTTTTCTCCAGCAGTTGGGAGGAACACATAAAAGAGCTAAGGGAGGTATTTTTGCGTTTAAAAGAAGCAGGGTTTACAGTCAAACCATCTAAGTTAGAACTAGGGTTCTTCAACATCAAATTTTTAGGACACATGGTAGGGGAAGGTTCGTTACAACCAGATCCCGATAACATTGATAAGATCCTCAGGCTGCAACAGCCCAAAACAAAGAAACAGGTCAGAAGCTTAGTGGGACTAG